GATTGCATTGAATCTATAGATTGCTTTGGGTAGTGTAGCCATTTGGACAATATTGATTCTTCCAATCCATGAACATGGTATATTTCTCCATCTGTTTGTGTCTTCTTTGATTTCTTTCATCAGTGTTTTATAGTTTTCTATGTATAGGTCTTTTGTTTCTTTAGGTAGATATACTCCTAAGTATTTTATTCTTTTTGTTGCAATGGTGAATGGTATTGTTTCCTTAATTTCTCTTTCTGTTTTCTCATTGTTAGTGTATAGGAATGCAAGGGATTTCTGTGTGCTAATCCCTATCAAGCTACCAGTGGTATTTTTCGCAGAACTAGAACAAATAATTTCACAATTTGTATGGAAATACAAAAAACCTCGAATAGCCAAAGTAATCTTGAGAAAGAAGAACGGAACTGGAGGAATCAACCTTCCTGACTTCAGACTATACTACAAAGCCACAGTCATCAAGACAGTATGGTACTGGCACAAAGACAGAAATATAGATCAATGAAATAGAATAGAAAGCCCAGAGATAAATCCATGAACCTATGGACACCTTATCTTCGACAAAGGAGGCAAGAATATACAATGGAAAAAAGACAACCTCTTTAACAAGTGGTGCTGGGAAAACTGGTCAACCACTTGTAAAAGAATGAAACTAGAACACTTTCTAACACCAAACACAAAAATAAACTCAAAATGGTTAAAGATCTAAATGTAAGACCAGAAACTATAAAACTCCTAGAGGAGAACATAGGCAAAACACTCTCTGACATAAATCACAGCAGGATCCTCTATGACCCACCTCCCAGAATATTGGAAATAAAAGCAAAAATAAACAAATGGGACCTAATGAAACTTAAAAGCTTTTGCACAACAAAGGAAACTATAAGCAAGGTGAAAAGACAGCCCTCAGATTGGGAGAAAATAATAGTAAATGAAGCAACAGACAAAGGATTAATCTCAAAAATATGCAAGCAACTCCTGAAGCTCAATCCAGAAAAATAAATGACCCAATCCAAAAATGGGCCAAAGAACTAAACAGACATTTCTCCAAAGAAGACACACATATGGCTAACAAACACATGAAAAGATGCTCAACATCACTCATTATCAGAGAAATGCAAATCAAAACCACAATGAGGTACCATTACACGCCAGTCAGGATGGCTGCTATCCAAAAGTCTACAAGCAATAAATGCTGGAGAAGGTGTGGAGAAAAGGGAACCCTCTTACACTGTTGGTGGGAATGCAAACTAGTATAGCCGCTATGGAGAACAGTGTGGAGATTTCTTAAAAAACTGGAAATAGAACTGCCATATGACCCAGCAATCCCACTTCTGGGTATACACACTGAGGAAACCAGATCTGAAAGAGACATGTGCACCCCAATGTTCATCACAGCACTATTTATAATAGCCAGGACATGGAAGCAACCTAGATGCCCATCAGCAGATGAATGGATGAGGAAGCTGTGGTACATATGCACCATGGAATATTACTCAGCCATTAAAAAGAATTCATTTGAATCAGTTCTAATGAGGTGGATGAAACTGGAGCCCATTATACAGAGTGAAGTAAGCCAGAAAGATAAAGACCAATACAGTATACTAATGCATATATATGGAATTTAGAAAGATGGTAATGATAACCCTATATGCAAAACAGAAAAAGAGACACAGATGTACAGAACAGACTTTTGGACTCTGTGGGAGAAGGTGAGGGTGGGATGTTTCAAGAGAACAGCATTGAAACATGTATATTATCTAGGGTGAAACAGTTCACCAGCCCAGGCTGGATGCATGAGACAAGTGCTCAGGCCTGGTGCACTGGGAAGACCCGGAGGAATCGGGTGGAGAGGGAGGTGGGAGGGGGGATCAGGATGAGGAATACTTGTAAATCCATGGCTAATTCATGTCAATGTATGACAAAAACCACTACAATATTGTAAAGTAATTAGCCTCCAACTAATAAAAATAAATGAAAAAAAAAAGAAGTAAAAAAAAACCAAAAGAAAAAAAAACTATGGGGTGGGGGAATAAAACCTATGGATGAGGTTAATAGCAGATTAAACTCAAACAGAATCAGTGAGATGGAAGCCAGAAGTGGAAAAATTACCCAGAATACAGCACAGAGAGAAAAATCTTCAAAGTATTGAGAAAAGAATATTTTGTCAATTTAGCATTCTACACTGGCTAAATTATCACTCAAAATAAGGGTGAAATAAGACATTTCAAAGTCACTACTTTGTCACTACTGTCAGGAAGAAGAAAATTCAAGTCAGAAGGAAAGTGAGTGAAGGGTGGGCTGACATGTGACTCCACGAGCAACCACACAGACTGGAGGTGAGAACAATGTGGACACAGGCCTGAGGCTAAAGCTGAACTCCCGCTAGTGCAGGGAAGGGGCGGGGGGTAGTTTTACTTTAGGCTGTGTTAATCTCACATGTTACAAATTTAAGTGTATTTATGAAAATGATAGAAAGAATGTTTAACTCCAAAAACAAAGGTAGTTGAGGGAAAGAGGAATAAAGATAACGTGATCAATCAGAGGAAGAGCCCAAAGGGAGAAAAGAGCAGCGTAGACAAAAAAACAAAACAATACTGACTGACAACCAGAGTGAGAGGCGAAAATCAGGTAAAGCGTTTCAGCACTCGCAACAAAACACCATCAGAGGCTAATCAAAAAACGGCTACACAGACTATTTACCAGAAAATCAGGTAAAGCATATCAGCACTCGCAACAAAACACCATCAGAGGCTAATCAAAAAACGGCTACACAGACTATTTACCAGAAGCACATCTAACAGTATAAAATGTAGAAAGAATAAAAGGAGAATGAGGGGAAAAGATATATGAGGTCAATACTCACAAAATAGTGCTATGCCTAGACTAAACATTGAAAAAAATTAAGGCTGAAAGCATCATTAAGAATAAATAAGGTTCCATATAATGATACGGGGAATAATTTATCAGAAAGCTATAATGATTCTAAATCTGTTAGCATTAAAAACAAAGCCTGAAAAGACATATAAATCCCAAATTGGCAAAATTTCATGGAGAGGCTGCTAAAGTGGAATTTTATCCCACTTCTTTTAGTAACTTATAAATCAAGCAAAGGGAACATTAGAAAAGACATAGAATATTTGAATAACACAATTAACAAACTTAATACAATGGAGGTATGATCTTATGCGTGTGTGTATATTGTTGGATATATATATATATATGTGTGTGTGTGTATATATATATGTGTGTGACACACGTACATATCTCCTTGTATCCAATAATTCCTATTGAACCACATACGTGGCAACCAGAAAGTCTTTATTAAATCAATATTATTCAAATATACTCAAATATATTTATATTTGTATTTGTATTTTTTATATATATTTTTTACAAATAAATTATATTTGTATTTGTACTCAAATATACTCAAAGATCAGTATTATGCAGATCATCTTCTCTGACCATAACAAAATAATAAAGAAATCAGTAGCTAAGGGCGAATCCTTCCTCAAAAATAAATAAATAAATACAAAGAAAGAAACCTAGTATACATTTGAAAGCTTAAAGTAAGCATACTTTTCAGTAATCCCTAAAGCAAACAATACAATGGATATCAGAAAATCAACAAGGTGAAATTAAAAATACTACTTATTAAGACTTAATGGGGGACTTCCCTGGTGGTCCTTTGGCCAAGACTCCGAGTTCCAAATGTAGGGGCCTGGGTTCAGTCCCTTCAGAGAACTAGATTCCACATGCCACAACTAAGACCCGACTTAACGGCCATAACTAAAGTGGAACTTGAAAATGTATAACCTTAAACACTCATTGTCAGAGAAAAGAAAGACTAAAAATTGAACTCAGTATCCAGCTGAAGAAATTTGAAAAAGGATCCTAACAACAATCAAAGCAGTAGAAAGAATTAAACAGAAGAAAACAAAATAGAAATAGATTAGCAGAATGAAAAGTTGATTCTTTAGAAAAAGCTTTGTATTCCTAGAAAAATAAAACTTAACATATCAGTCTTAGGATGAAATTGAACCTAAAAACACTGATAGATGTTAAATAACTAGAAGCAAACAAAACAAAAAAAAAACCTACCCAGAAAAATTGCACCAGGCCCAGACAGTCAGAATATTCGGGTATTCTGCCCCTACAAGCTGCTCTGAGTTTGGAGAGGGTCTGCCCTGAACAGAGAAAGTTGGGTGTGAACAGTCTGTAGATGAAACTTCAGCAAATGTCCACTGAGCATGGACTTGAGACCTGGGCCTTGGACATAGCACTGAACCAAATCAGGAAAGCTTCCTCCCCATGGGGAGCCTGCATCCTGGGGGGAAAGACAGGTCCTAGACAATAAGCAACAAGTGATTTCAGGGCAGGCAGACACCAGGGTGCTGTGGAGGAAAGTACAGGCAGGGAGAGCGGGCCCCGGGGGAGGGTCAGACAGCAGGACGCCCCCTGCCCCCCACCCCAGCCCCGTCACGGAAACCAGGGTGTGAGGCTCGGCAGGAGACAAAGCCGGCCTGCGGGGTTTGCAGTAAGAGGGGGGTTGTGGGCCAGGCCTCTGTAGGCTGACTGCGAGAGGGAGGGAAAGGCTGGGATGTGGGTGAGGAAGTGGCTCAGGAGTGTGAAAGGAGGGCGTGGTGAGGGAGGGGGATGCAGCCTCACCAGGAAGGCCGCCAGGACGCTGCAGGCGGGGGTGCTTAGGACCTTGAGGGTGCGGGCACAGACGGCCTCTGCAGTGGCTGGGGGGCCTGGGGGGCCAGGGAGTGGTGGGCAGTGTTCCACTGGACAGGTCTGACCCTGTGCCAGGCACGTTCTGGATGCTTTGCCCACATGAGCTTCCACAGGCCCTGGGCTTTTGAACCTGTATTGGGAGGAAGTGGGGATGGGAGAACCATGGGTCTTTCTGGAATCTTAGCCCTGATGGAAGGGCCGTGGGGCCTGGGGACTCCTTGCCTTCAAGGACTAAGACAGGAGGGCAGAGAGGTAGGGCTGGGCTAGGAGGTGCTGAGGAGACTGGTGTCTTTTATTCCCAACAAAATAGCCTGTCCCTGGGCTCCCTGCTCCATCAACCCACCAGGCTGCAGGGCCAGGAGGACATTCTGTGGGAAAGGTGCTTCTGGGGGTTGGGATTTTTGCCGTCTGCCAGAGTGGCGGTGGGTTGCGGAGTGGTACCAGCTTGAAATTTGTTCATCATGTGCCCATTCTTTGGGCTGGGTGCTCTGTGGCCCTGGCCCTGGCAGGGCAGGCCCAGTTGAGCCTGGAGACCAGGGTGTGGGTTGCTTCTCAGACGTGAGGTTTTCTCCTGAGAGCGTGGCATTCATGGTGCTGGGTGTACCCAGTACACTGGGCCCCCGGGGAGGCTGGAGGGGCCCCATGAGGTCGTCTCGGGGGACAGGTGGGTGTCTGGCCACCCAGGCCAAGGGCAGGGTTGCAGGGAGAGCCCAGAGGCCTGGGGCAGCTCTGAGGCTGGTTGTGGGGAGATGCAGCCTCCTTCCTCAGTCCCATCGCGACTCGGGGACTCTGGTGAATGTGGCCATGGCCACTCAGCTGCCACAGCAGGAGGGGGGAGGGACACGGGGAGGGGCAGCTCTGGGTGACTCAGGGAGGGGAGACCAGGGGCAGGAAGACGGTGGAGACAGTGGGGCCGGGAAGCACTCGTTTCCTCTCTCCAGGGCTGGGCCACATGCTTCCCAAGGTGCTTCCTGCAGATAAGTGGGCTTCCAACAGCCCCTTCCTGCTTCCCCCCTTCCCCTACCCCTCCCATCCGCCCCAGCCTCTGGGGACCCTCAGCTCCCTCACTCAGGCCAGGCCCGAGGCCTTGGGAAGAGCCTGAACATCCTGGGGTCACACTCTTAGGCAGGGAGGGTCCGCCCAGGCCTGGGAAGAAAGCAGGAGCAGACTGCAGACAGCGCTGGACACAGTGGGGTCAGTGGAGTCCTGGGAGGCAGAGATTTTTCCTGGAGGGATGGTGGCTGGGGAGGGAGAGAGCCCGGTTTTCCTCAGGGGTCAGGGCTGGTCCTGGGTCTCACTCTGGGGCGACCAGAGACTGTTCCAGGGGCAGAAGGGCGGGCACTGTGGCGCTCTTTGGGGTGGGGGCTGTTCTCCAACGGGGTGTCAAGAACTGGTCTGTGTGGGGGTAGGGTGCTTCCAGGATGTCAGGGAAGGGTAGGGAGGTTTTCTCTGTGTGTGTTGGAGTGGGGGGGGGGGGGGCAGTTCATTCAAGTTTATTCCTGGGAGGCTCAGGGGATCCAGGGCTGCTCTTGGAGAAGGTGGGTGAGGCTGGGGTATTTTCTACCAGGATCAGAAGGTGTTCCCAAGCTGGGTTGTTCTGTGAAGGTTAGCAAGTGGGTCTTGTGAGAAGGGGAGCGGCCATGGGGGTCAGGGCCTGTTCTTTGGGGAGGAGTCCAGCACGGCGGGGGGGCTTTGTGGGAGTCAGAAGCTGTTTCTTGGGAAATCAGGGCCATTTCAACGTGAAGGGACTGCTCCTTGCTGTTGAAGAACCTTGAGGGCTCGGGTTTCCCAGCTCTGGGGTAGTTCTGCGAGGCTGACGAGTGGGGGGGGGGGGGGGTAGTGTGCTCCAATGGGGCGGTGGTGCCGGAGCTAGTTTCTTTATTGCGCTCCCCTCTTCTCCGCCTACTCATCACCCCCTCCCGCGTTGCCACGACAACGCGTAAACCTAAAATTCACTTCCCGGTTGCAGGTGGAGACTAGTAGCGCCCCCTCCCCTAAGCCCTTCCTCTTAGGTCGCGCCCCCATCCTGTTGTCGCTAAGGTGACCGGGAGGGGGTGACAGGCGTCGGAGCTAGGCGAACCAGGGGAACTGGGGAGGGGGCTGGAGGAGGGGCGGGCCTCAGAGTCCGGAGCGAACTCCCCAAACTCTGCTAGAGATGCGGGAGCCGTGAGCCGCGCCGAACACAGTTCGGCGCGGTCCTAAGGGTTAAGTTGGAGGGTTAAATGCTTCTGACTGTGGGAGAGACCCCGGGGCTCTGAGGTCCCTACCGTCCCACCTCCAGGATTGGGACCGGATTGGTCCCAGTCATTCCCGGGTCTTGAGTAGGGTGGGGAGAGGGGATCGGTAGAGTGGGGAGAAGCTGCCACCCCCGGAAATTAATTCTCCAGTTTTTCTCTCCCCTTCCTGCCCTGCCTCTGGTCCCAGTGCCCAAAGCGGCCCCCATCCCAGCTCCAAGACCCCCTCCTCGCCGCATCTTCCCCGGTGGTCCACGGATGCTCTTCCGCAGCCGAAGGGCGGCGCGGTCCTCGCTGCCCAGCCACTCCCCCCACACCGAGGCCTAGGAGTCCCCACACCCCCAGCACAGCCCCCAGGGTCCCCACCCTGCTGTGCGGCCCTCGCCTTTCGCGCGGACCCCCACTCCCCACCCCGGGACCTCAGACAGTCCCCTTCGCCCTCGCCGGCCCTGAGCGTCCCGGCCCCCGCCTCCGGCTCAGCCCCCTGCCACCCCCGCTTCCCTCCCGGCTCAGGCCCCCTCCCCCCGCCGCCCCCGCCCCCGGGGAAGGCAGGCGCCGAGCGGAGCCGGGGCCGATGCAGCTGAGCCGCGCCGCCGCCGCCGCCGCCGCCGCCCCTGCGGAGCCCTCGGAGCCGCTGTCCCCGGCGCCGGCCCCGGCCCCGGCTCCCCCCGGCCCCCTCCCGCGCAGCGCGGCCGACGGGGCTCCGGTGGGGGGCCGGGGGGGGCCGGGGCGCGGCGAGGAGCCCCGGGGCGCCCAGCTCCTGGCCGCTATTGGCCCCGGCCCGGGCGCGGGGATGGACGGCCCCGGGGCCAGCGCCGTGATCGTGCGCGTCGGCATCCCAGACCTGCAGCAGACGGTGAGCCTCGCCGCCCGGGTCCCGGCGGCACCCTCGTCCCGCTCTCGCGGCCCCCCACCCGCGCGCCGCGAGCCGTGCGCGGGAGACCCCGGCCCCGGCCACTCGCCCCTCCCCCGCCGCCTCCGCCCGGACCCTCCCCACGGCCGGGCGGGGGCGGGGCCCGGGGAAGCACCGCCCCCGGGGCGAGGCCTCGCGAGCGGGGCGCAGAGGCGGGGGTCCGCGGCCTCCGCTCCCGCGCCGGGACTCGGGCGGCGCCCCGGGCCTCCGTGCCCAGCGCTGGCCTGGCGGCCCGATCGGCTCACGACCGCGCTCCGCTGCAGAAGTGCCTGCGCCTGGACCCGGCCGCGCCCGTTTGGGCCGCCAAGCAGCGCGTGCTCTGCGCCCTCAACCACAGCCTCCAGGACGCGCTCAACTACGGGCTCTTCCAGCCGCCCTCTCGGGGCCGCGCCGGCAAGTTCCTAGACGAGGAGAGGCTTCTGCAGGAATACCCGCCCAACCTAGACACGCCCCTGCCCTACCTGGAGGTGAGCAGCAGCCGGGAACGGGCACAGCCCCGAGCTCCGGAGGGTGCGGCAGAGAGGGGCACGGACGGGGGGAGTTAGTGTATGCGGGGCGAGTGAGGAGTGAGCCGCGTGCAGGTTCGCGGTCAGCAGCACGTGCGACGGGGTGTGAGCGGGCGTGACTGCCTAGAGCGCCGAGTGGAGTACGCCCGCCGCGGGCTGTGTGCACATCTGTGTCTTGTCTTCCTGCCACCGCCCGTGCAGTTTTCCTAAGGACAGTCTTAAGTCTTCCTCTTTGCTCACCTGTTCATGATGTAAAGGCCGTTGAGCACCCTGTGAGCAAGGGGGCCAGATCCAGTTTGGAGGTGGGGGTGGCAAGTGCAATGGGCTTTGGAACAAGCGTTATGGTCTCTGAGCTCAGCTGACTGGGCCTCCCTGGTGGCACAGGCAGGTAGGCACAGTTCTGTCCAGAGAGGGGTGTCTAGGAAGGTAGGCCTGGAACCTGGTCTTGGAAGAGTACTGAGGTTTCCAGGGAATCCTGGGGGTGGGCGTGAGACAGGAAGGGCACAGCAGGCAGAGGGACTGCTGGGCGTGCAGCACACCTGTCCTCAGTGCAGGTCGTGTCCATGGTGTGTGCATGGGCTGGTGAGGCCGGCCGGCAGGAGCTTTGTTATGGGGGCAATGAGCAGTGGGGCCCTGGCCACACAGCAGTGGGCAGGACTCCATTCTGTGCCTGCTTTCACTTACTCAGTCCAGGTGGGTGCCTTTTTCTGCCTTGTCTTTACCTGAGCAGTTTCGATACAAGAGGAGAGTTTATGCCCAGAACCTCATTGATGATAAGCAGTTTGCAAAGCTTCACACAAAGGTAAGGAGGCAGCCACAGCGAGGGGACTCCAAGGTGACCTTCTGCACTCCCTCCAGTCCCCTCCCCGCCATGGCCAATGCTCCCCTAGCTCAGCCTTAGCTGGATTTTGTGATGTCAAAAATGTCCTTGAAAAATTCCTTTCTTGAGGCCTTCCCCCTGTTCCCAGAACGGCCACTCCAGCTTGGTTGGGCTGGCCAGCTTTTGCTCAGGCTGCTATCTCCTGTCATCAGGGACCCAGCGTGGGTGTTGGGGGTGGCTAGAGGGCCGGATGCAGACTCTGGGCACCATGACTTTGGGGTGGTTGGTCTGGTGATGGGTTCCACTCAGGTCAGACTCTCACTGACCCCTCTGGTGGGCCCCTGGCTAAGGGGTGGAGTGCAGTAGGGCGCAGTGTCTTTGTGGGGGCTATGTGAGCGGATGTGGTTGTTGAGGGGAGCTGGGTTGGGGTGGGGAGAACAGGGCATCTGGGACTTAGTGGTCATCCAGTGCTAGGCACTTGAAATTAGGCATCTTGTTATTTTTTTTTTTTCTGGGACGGACTATCATTAACCCATTTCATAGATGAAGATACTGAGTCGCAGAGAATTTTAGTGACTTGCTTACAGCTCTGCATCCAGTGATGTTGGAATTGAACCCAGATCTTCTGACTCTGGGCCCCTAGGCATACCTGTGGGGTCTTTACTCCTGGCTACTGTTGCTAGGAGGGTCTGACCCCACATGCTCTTTGGGGGGCACCTCCCTGCCTTTTCTGAATGTAGGAGGGGCAGGGTGGGTACCCTGGCCCTTTCCATAGGTAGACTCCCTGAGTTCCCACCCCAGGCTCCTGTGGGCCAGTGGACATTTACTTGCTGGACACTTCACTGACAGTCTCTGGGGCCTAAGAGAGGGATCTATGCACTCACCCCTGTGCTCCAGTGACCCCCTTGTGACCCTAGAGTCTCCATGCCAGACTCCTCTGCTGCCTTGGTTCTGTGGCCAGGCAGAGACTCCCTCACTGGTCTTGGTATAACCCATCACCCTGGATTCCTCCCATAATTACCTCTCCTCCAAAGCTGACCTCAGTGACCGGCAGGACACCAATGACTCTTGACCTTCAGTGAGTCTCACTTGGTTTTGGGATGAGTTTCAACTCCGTGCCACAGTCCTGTGTTTCTGCCTGCCTGGCCTCTGGCCGGCCCCCAGCGCCACATTAGGCCTCCCCCCGCCCACCCCCACCCCCACACTGGTGGGGCCGAGGTCTTTCCTCTCAGCTCTGAGCATCCTTTCTCCGGTCTCATTGTCCTAATCTGCCAGAGGGTGCCCTCTCGCGTGGAGCTGTCCCCACGGCACCTTGTCCTATTTCTGATGCGTTTTGTTTCTAGAGGGCCTGGGTACCTGGGGCCTCAGGCCAGGGTACCTTGCCTGCTGCAGGCAGCACTGTAGCACCAGCGGGAGCTTAGTGAGGCTTTGGTGAGTGAATTGATGCATAACTGGGTGAGTGAAGGGAAAGCAGTCAGAGTCACGTCACAGGAGGGGACACCTGGCAGGAGAGGGGGGCCCTAGAGCTGGAATCTGTCGTGGGGTGAGCACGTGAGAAAGATGCACTGGAGAAGGAGCAGGCTACCTGGGGAGCGGAGGTGCAGGCTGCCCCGGGCTGGCTCCTGCCCATGTGGCTTCAGGCTTTTCCAGGCTGGACAGGTTGGGGCATCAGGGCCAGGAAGAGAAGCCAGGGCAGAGGCTGAAGCTGAGGGAGGGAACTCACTTAGCTGGGCTTGGGGGGCGAGGAAGGATCTGGAGCAGCATGCGGATCCAGTGGAGCTGGGATTGGGGCCACAGTGGGAGTGCAAGGTTAGGGTAACACGGGAAAGGGAGAAGGTCATGGTGGAGGCTGACGGGTCAGACTGAGGGGTGTGGTAGTTCCCTGGGGGATGTGGGTGATGGTCAGGCGATGGTCGTCAAGTGTGGGCTGATCAGGATGGCTGGCTATTCCAGGCAAACCTGAAGAAGTTTATGGAATACGTCCAGCTGCACAGCACAGACAAGGTGGCCCGCCTGCTGGACAAGGGGCTGGACCCCAACTTCCACGACCCTGACTCAGGAGGTGAGAAGCGGATCAGGGAGGGGCATGGTCTGGGAAGGGCCAGGACTGTGACCTCCGCCTGTCCCTTGCACCTAGAGTGCCCGCTGAGCCTTGCCGCCCAGTTGGACGACGCTACCGACCTGCTGAAGGTGCTGAAGAACGGCGGCGCTCACCTGGACTTCCGCACGCGAGACGGGCTCACGGCCGTGCACTGTGCCACGCGGCAGCGGAATGCGGCGGCCTTGACGGTCAGTGCAGGCCCAGCCCTCGCTGGAGCGTCGTGTGGCCCCGGAGCAGAAAGAGGCCGGCCTGGCATGAATACTGGGGTTCTTGCCCTCAGACCCTGCTGGACCTGGGCGCCTCACCGGACTACAAGGACAGCCGCGGCCTGACGCCCTTGTACCACAGCGCCCTGGGCGGGGGGGACGCCCTCTGCTGCGAGCTGCTCCTGCACGACCATGCTCAGCTGGGGACCACCGACGAGAACGGCTGGCAGGAAGTCCACCAGGTAGGCGGGGGCACGGGGGCAGGGCCCCGGGCTCAGCCTGTGGGTCTGGGCTGTGCCCAGGGCCCAGCAGTGCCCCCCCTCCCCCAGGCCTGCCGCTTCGGGCACGTGCAGCACTTGGAGCACCTGCTGTTCTACGGAGCTGACATGGGGGCTCAGAACGCCTCTGGGAACACAGCCCTGCACATCTGTGCCCTCTACAACCAGGTCGGTCTGCACGCTTGCACACGAGTGTGCACACAGGTGATGCTATGCAGTGACTACGTGTGTGTGCGTGTCTGGCCCTATGTATCACACCACAGCTGTGTGTTCTGCCTCTTGCAGTGAGCTGTGGCCGTGCAGGTCTATGTGTGCCTGTCGTTTCCCTGAACACATGTGTGTTCTGAACAACCACATGTGCATTGTATGCATGTGGACCCTCTGAGCTAGCTAGGACCTACACACTTACACCTGACCTGCCCGTCCCTATGCTACACGTCTGTGTGTTGAACACGTGGCCCTGGGCCCTGTGTGTGCATGTGTTGTCACCCAGCTGTGACCCCTCCTCCAATCTTCCTGCAGGAGAGCTGTGCCCGTGTCCTGCTTTTCCGCGGAGCCAACAAGGATGTCCGCAATTACAACAGCCAGACAGCCTTCCAGGTACATGAATGTCTGCAGGAGCGTGGGGCTCCCCGGGGCACGTCTCTCCATCTCTGTGTGGCTTGGTCTTTCTGGACCTTGGTCTATTCCCTATAAAGCAGTGAGGGAGCTCTGGGCCCAGGGTCGTTCCAGGGTGAGGTGGGGGAAGGGGGTGAGCCAGGGCAGTGCCCGGCTCTTATGAGGGGTGCTCACTGAGGATGGCTCCCTCGGCCCCCCTTCCAGGGAGAAGAGAGGAGGGTCAGAGGGCTCTGGGGCTAGGGGAGAACAGGTGTGGGCTGTGACTGTCCATTCAGGGGCCTTCACAGGTCACGTGGGGAGACCAGGTGTGTGGAGGGGCCATTCCGAGAATGGGCAGGGTGGCCAGTGTGTTCCAGCTTTAGCTCTGAGAGTCTTGTGTCCCAGGAGACCCCTCAGTCCCACACAGACTGGGGTGGTGGGTGAGACAGGGGCCAAGGTCTGAGCCTGGGGCCCCCAACTGAGGACGACCCTGCTCGGGCATTCAGGGAGCCCCCAGGGCTGAGGGGAGGTGAGTCTGTGCTGCTGAGCCTCCCTCCCCCCCCCCACCCCCCCCCCCGCCCCAACCAGGTGGCCATCATAGCGGGGAACTTTGAGCTCGCGGAGGTCATCAAGACCCACAAAGATTCGGACGTCGGTGAGTTCTGCCCACCGAGGGCCCTGCCGACGTGGGTTTGTGGGGGTTGTCGGGGCCCACTAGGGCAGGAGTGAGTGGGGCTGTTACAGGGGAGCCCCTAACCCGGAGCCTTTTCCTCATGTTCCCCCAGTGGTCCCATCAGTGGGCTCTGCAGGTGTAGGGAATGTGCCGAGGGGAGGGCCTGTGCAGGTGGACAGTCAGGTTAGGGTCACGGTTAGGTGAAGGCTGTGGATCGCGGTTAGAGTCAGGTCAGCATTAGGGTATGGTTGTAATGGTTCAGTTCAGTCCCTCAGTCGTGTCCAACTCTTTGTGACCCCATGGACTGCAGCACGCCAGGCCTCCCTGTCCGTCACCAACTCCCGGAGTTTACCCAAACTCATGTCCATGGAGTCGGTGATGCCATCCAACCATCTCATCCTCTGTCGTCCCCTTCTCCTCCTGCCTTCAATCGTAATTGTTACCACTGTGGATTTAGGGATCAGCTTAGGTTGGAAGCAGGAGTAGAGTTAGGTCAAGGTTTGTTTTCCTGTGAGGTCGTGTGAAGGGCCAGCAGGGGACATGTGGCAGTGTAGCTCCACCGCAGACGCTCAGCATTTCACTTCAGCTGGAAACGTAAGACAGTTTAAGTGGCCCATAGTCAGCTTCCTTGCATGACAAGACCACCTGTATGCATGTGTGAAGACATTAAAACGCAGTGGTAGGGATGCGTGTGGGGAAGGGGGCAGCCATCTCAGGCAAGGGGCTCTGAGCTCTCGGCAGCCAGCGCTTCGGGGGGGCCCAGCACGTGCCGCAGAGGGAACCCAGGAGCTGCTGTCCACTCTGAACCTCAGGCCTCAGGGGCCACCCTCTCCCAGGGCAGTGTTGGCTGTGGGTCTGCCCAGGAACCTGTCCTGCAAATCCTGAGCCTCCCCTCCCCATGTGGACTGGCTGGGGGTGGGCCTCTCCTCCTGAAAAGAGTATTTTCTGGCCAGAGGCTGTCCCTTCCAGCCCCTTCCAGACGGCTGCCCCATCTCTGCTCCCTCTGTCCTGGGCAGACAAGGCTTTCTGCCCACGGCGCTCCTGGGAACAGACTGCCAGGCTTCCCTCTCTGTTGGGACTGCAGTATCTGATGCCTCCATTTTTACAAAGTTTAAAGTGACAGTGGACAGCAAAGGGCTAAGGCTGGTCCCAGGGTCTGAGTCCTTGTTGGTTCTAATGTGAGGTTATGGTAGGCTACGGTTAGGATAAGGTCAAGTTCATGTTTAAGGAGTCTTCGTATATAGTCTCCCCTGAACAGACCTGCCGGCAGTGAGGCTTGGTTGTGAGCCCCTTGTTTCCAAGCAGGGTCAGGGGTCTGTGACAGTGGGCAGACCCTGTACCCTCCAGCAGCAGCAGCTGATGCATGTTGAGCATGTAACTGAGCCAATGAAATGGTGCTGGCTTGCAGTCCAGGTTCTGCTTGGGAGAGAACTGTGGTGAAGCCTGAGGTCTGAACTGGGGTAAGAGGCAGAGCAGGGGCTCCAGTTATGGTCTGGTTGGGGCTGCTACTTGTTTTGGAGGAGGTCGTCAGCCTGGGACAAGCTTGGTTTCTGGATGTGTGGGGCTCTATCTTCTGCTTGTGATGTCACTTTGGGAAAGTGGCTTGGGACTTCTGTGTCTCAGTTTCCTTAGGTAAAATAAAGTCTTTTATGGTTCTTTACTCCTTCCCCCACTGACCTTATGCAGTATTGGCTTCCGTGGGTCTGGACTCTGGCCAGTAGCCTTGGTCCAGCTGGTTGGACAGAGGGTGGGGGCTTGTCTGTGGTCCAGGCTAAGTCAGGAAGGCCTCAGCTGCCCCTCATCTTTGGACAGAGATGCCGGGGCTCCTGGGGTCGCCATTATCAGCTTCTGTCTGGCTGATCCAGGGTGCGCTTACCTGGCTGGGGTCAGGCATTTGTGGCTGAGCTGAGAGGTCACATCAGTTAGTCCCACTGTTGGCATCAGTTCTGCTGGCCACGCACCCTTACTTGCTCAGATGTCACACATACACTCAGATGACACAGCCAGATGCGCCTGAGTTACAGGGGAGTATATTCTGAGCATTTATGATAACCCTCTCAACAAGCCCCCAGTGAGTGATTGCTGTTAGTCCATTTTTACAGAGGAGGAAACCCCAGGCACAGAGGGATTAATAGCAGAGCCTGTCTTCAGACCAGAGCGACCCAGAGATCCACCCTTGTTCCCCCACTCCCTCGGCACACGCTCCCTCTGGGAGTCAGTGGTCACGTCTCACCTCGGCTTGGGGACCCAGGTGGGACCTGTGCACAGAGGAGGAGCAGCAGGGAGGCTCTGCCCAGCCATCCTTCCTTCTCCTCCGGCACGAAGCCGCCTGGAGGGATCTTGTAGGCTGAGCCCTGTCATCACTCTTCAGGGGACAGGTCACCTGGAAGCCTCTTGGCAGCCCCCCTGCCACCCCTAGACTGACCCGCAGGAAGCAGGGACCCTGCCTGGGAGCAGCCACCTCTGCTTCCTCACCTGCTGCCTCGGGCTGCCTCTGTGTCCTCAGGCGCTCTGCCCATCTCTTGTGGACACTCTGAAGCACACTTCTCACTGACTTGTCCCAGAGTGCTTTTGAAGAGTGCCCTAGGAAAGTGCTTCTCACTTTGTAGTGTACATTTGAGTCACCCAGGGATCTAGTTAAATGTAGATTCTGACTCAGAGGGTCTGGGTGGAGCCTGAGATTTCCTAAGGAGCTGGAGGTGAGGCTGCTGGTCTGCATACTAGAACAGGGCTTGGCAAACAATGCCCCCAGGCCAAATCCAGCCTTTTGTCGCTGATTTTAATTGAGGCTTTAAAATCAAAGATTTAAATTTCAGTTAAAATCAGATTCATGTAACATAAAATTAACTATTTTAAATTGAATAATTTAGTGGTATTTAAGACATTCACAACCAACTCTATTGAATTCCATAACATTTTCATCATCGCAAATGGAAACTCTGTATATATTAAGCAATTATTCCACATTCCGCTCTCCCTCAGCCGCTGTCAACCATTAACATACTTTCTGTCTATGTAGATTTACCTATTCTGGATATTTCATGTAAGTGGAATGATGCTTGGTGTTTGGCTTCCTTCAACAAACTGAAGCATGTTTTCCAACTTAATCCATATTGCAGGATGTATCACTACTTCATTACTTTTTATGGCTGAATAATATTCCACTGTTTGTATCTGTGACATTTTGTTTATCCATTCATCCTTTGGTAGACATTTAAGTGGTTTCCACCCTTTGGCTATTGTGAATATTGCTGTATGGACATGTGTGAAATGTATTTGTTTGAATACTATTTTCAGTTATTTTGGGTACATACTTAGAGTAGAATTGCTGTGTCATATGATAATTCTATGTTTAATTTTTTGAGGAACTGCTAAATTGTTTTTCACCATTTTACATTCCCACCAGAAATGCATGATGGTTCCAAATTCTTCAAATCCTCACCAATACTTGTTATTACCTTAAAAAAAAAATTATAGCCATTCTAGTCCAAGTGAAGAGGTATCTCATTGAGGTTTTGATTTGCATTTTCTTAACAGCTATTGATGCATCTTTTCATGTGCTTATTGGATGTTTGTGTATCTTCTTTGGAGAAATGTCAAGTTCTTTGATCATTTTTAAATTGCTCATAGAATACATTAGAAAGTGTTCCTTCCTCTTCTATTTTTCTGGGAAGAATTTCAGAAGGATTTTGCTAATTCCTCTTTAAATGTTTGGAAGAATTCATTAGTGATGCCATCTGATGCTGGACTTTTCTTTGTTGGGAGATTTGTGATTACTGATCCAATCTCCTTGCTTTTTATAGGTCTGTTTAGATTTTCTATTTCTTCTTGAGTCAGTTTTGGTAATCTGCATTTTCCTAAAAACTTGTCCATCTTATCTAGTTTATCTAATTTGCTGGAATACAATTATTCATAGTATTCTCTTATATTCCTTTTTAATTGTGTAACATCAGGTAGTAACACTTCAATTTTCATTTCTGTTTTCATTTATTTGTGTCCCCTTCTCTAATTTTTTTCCTTAGTCTAGTTAAAGGTTTGTCAATTTTATTGATTATTTTTTAAGGAACAAATTTTGGTGTCATTGATTCCCTGTGTATTTCTAATCTCTATTTTGTTTATCTCATGTAGTCTTTACTATTTCCTTCCTTTGGGTTTGGTTTGCTTCTCTTTTTCTAGTTCTTTAACTAGGTCCCCCCCCCCCCCCCCCCCGCCCTTGTTTTTTGAGACTTCCCTTTTTAATGTAGCTATACATTTACAGCTATAAATTTCCCTTTTAGTACCACTTTTGCTACATCTCATAAGTTTTGGTATGTTCTATTTTTGTTTTTATTTTCTCAAAATGTTTTCAATTTTCCTTATGATTTCTATCTTGACACATTGGTTGCTTAAGAGTGTCTAAGTTTTCACATATTCGGGAGTTTTCCAGGTTTTCCCCCCTGCTATTTATTTAGAGCTCCATTCCATTGTCTCTGCAGAAGGTACTTTGTATAATTTCAGTCTTTTTAAATTTATTGAGACTTTTTTGGTGACCTCACAAATGATCTATCCTGGAGAATGTTTCACGTGCACTTGAGAATAATGTGTATTCTGCTTTTGTTTTGTGGAGTGTCCTATATATGTCTGTTAGGTCTAACTGGTTCAAATCTTCTATATTCTTACTGATCTTCTCTCTAGATGCTCTATCCATTATTGAAAGCAGGGTGTTGAAGTCTTAAATATTATTGTAGAACTGTCTATTTCTCCAAATATATCAATGTTTGTTTCTATATATTTTGATGCTTTGTTGTTTGTTACATATATGTTAATAATTGTTAATCTAGTTGACAAATTGACACTTTTTTCAAATATAATGTCCTCTGTCTCTCTTAATACTTTTTAAGTCTATTTTGTTTGATATTACTGTAGCTATATAGATCTCTTTTGGTTACTATTTACATGAAATATTTTCTTTTATCCTTTTATTTTAAGCCTACTTGTGTCTTTGGATCTAAAGTGACTCTTTTGTAAAAGCATATAGTTGGATCATGTTTTAATCACCATCTGCTATTTAAATAAAGTTTTATTGGAACTCAGCCACACCCATTTGCTCATATATATTACTTGAGGCTGTTTTCACACTGCAGTGGCTGGGCTGAGCCCTTGCAACAGAGACTGAATGGCTTGCAAAGTCTGAAATATTTCCTATCTTATTCTTTACAGATGTTTGCCAACCCCTGGTCTAGAATATCTCTTTTACAGTTTCTCTGGTGATAGTCGACTGCAAATAGCTCCACACAGGGGCAGTCTGGTGAGGTCTGTCACGTGTGGCCGGTTTTTTGTCTCTCTGGAAGCCTGTGAGATGGGCAGTTCCAAGAGCAGATCTAAGCAGTCCCGAGACCTCATCTGGCTGACAGGAAGGGCAGGCTTTTACCTCTGAAGCTAGAGTTAGAGGCAGCTTGGTATGTGACCCTATCCTCTCCCACCCATCCCAGCTTCAGTCATAGGGTGATCAACTGACCTGTTTTGCCTGGGACTGAGGCAGTCCCTGGGACAGAGGATTTTCCTTTTGAAGTCTGGAAATACCAGGCAAAACAGGACAAGTTGGTTCCCTAATCTGGCCACCCAGAGTCTCACCTATTCCCCCTCCCCCCCCCACCCCAGTGCCATTCAGGGAAACCCCCAGCTACGCGAAGCGGCGGCGGCTGGCCGGCCCGAGCGCCTTGGCCTCACCTCGGCCCCTGCAGCGCTCAGCCAGTGACATCAACCTGAAGGGCGAGGTGCAGCCGGCAGCTTCTCCTGGACCTTCACTGCGAAGCCTCCCCCACCAGCTGCTGCTCCAGCGACTGCAGGAGGAGAAAGACCGGGACCGGGATGGGGACCAGCAGAATGATGGCAGCCCTGCCACAGGCAGGGGCAGCCAGAGCAAGATCAGGTAGGAGGAGGCGGGCCTGAGCCAGGAAGAGCCAGCACGGGGCAGGCGAGTGGCAGGGACAGGCCTGCTGGTGTGGCTCTGCAGGGTTGAGCTGAGGTTTGGGTGGGGGCCTCCCCGGGTGGGAAAGGGAAAACAGTGAGGTCCCCTGGCCTGGGGCAGGCTCCCCCACACTGAGCTCTGGAGTCAGACTTGTGCTGAGGGCAGTGGACAGCTGTGGGAGGATGCTGGGAGGAGAGGGTCTAGTCAGACCTGTGGTTTAGAAAGGTTCGTGCTATGCCAGGGAGGAGGACGAGGGCTGGGATGAGGCAGGGCTGGGTGAGCTGTGCTAAGAGGTTAGGGACTGGCGCATCCTCTCCATGAGGGCTCCAAATCCATAGGTGGACCCCAACGCTGTTCCCAAAGGAGAGTCTTGGTGTTTTCTCAACCCCTCTGGCCCTGTATAACCACGGGTCTCCATAGTTCTTCTCTTTACCCTTCACTGTGAGTGCTGGGATCCTGAGAACCAAAGACTGGTCATTCCCAGAACTTATAACAAAAAGCCTCAGGAGCCCCACTAAACTCTTGAGCTGGAGCCCCACTAGACTCTTGGGCTGCAACCCCACTGAGCCGAGCAGTGGGAGTGAAAGGTCGTTACTGGCTCTGCAGATAAGACGGTCGGAGTCCAGTGCACTCCATGCATCCACTGCCTGTGTGGCCTTGAGCACATTAGCCAGCCACTCTGTGCCTGGGTTTTTCATCATTTAGGCATGACTGGTCCTACCCAAAACATTTCCTTTGGGAAGACTTCTGGAGCCTGGCAGTGAAGGGTCCCTATTTGGACCCCTGGCCCACAGCACAAGCCAGCACTGCTGATGAAGGCCTCTCTCCTCCCCACACCTTCAAGGCAGGAGCTATCTCTCTTGTTTCCTGCAGTTTCTCCTGAGCCAGTCACATACAAGGTGCTCCAGAGAGACATGTTGAATGAAAGAGTTACATAAATAGCACTTTGTTTTCACAATGACAGCTGGGCTGAACAGTATAGTGTGTATCATATCACTTAACCTTGACCTTGTATGAGGCTGTGCTCTATTTTACAGATGAGGGTCCTAACACTCAGGTGGGGTAAATGACTTGGCCAAGGCCACACAGCTAGGAAGCAGCTTAACTTGCCCCCAGGTAGACCTCATTCCCAAACTTGCTAAGTGTGAGCATTCAGCAGAGGGCTTGGGTTGCAACAGGAGCTTATAAAAGCTATTTCTTCCTCTGCTGTTGTCCCTGCTCATACAGTCTTGACCTGTGATGTCTTCTCTGTATTTCTGTGTCCCTACCCAGACTGCAAGGCTATTTGCCCTGCCCCGAATCACTTCAATTCTCCCCCCAAATTTTGCATAGCCCTGTGGCAAAAAGAACAAACTTTGCTATGTTTCAGTTCTGCAGAGGCTACTCCTGAGTTGGAGCTGTGTGGAAGCTCTGCTTTCATTTGGTTTTTGTATATTCACTCATCCTTTTAGCAAACACAAACTAAGACTTGCTCTGGGTGGGGCTCCAGCTCACTGCTCTGTGGGGAGAATAGAATTTTTATTACTCTTTTTTCAACAAACATTTAGTAGGTGCCTAGGGTGCCAACTCGGAGAAGGCAATGGCAACCCACTCCAGTACTCTTGCCTGGAGAATCCCAGGGACGGGGGAGCCTCGTGGGCTGCCGTCTATGGGGTTGCACAGAGTTGGATGCGACTGAAGTGACTTAGCAGCAGCAGCAGCAGCAGGGTGCCAGCTGTGGTGGGGGCTAATAGCAGGGAGTTCTAAAAGTCTCAGGACACTGATAGCTGGGGCCCAGGGCTCAGAAGCAATTAAGTGGGGAGTGATCCAGGTAAGGGAGCCTCCCAGTGAGTGGCCAGGAGTGGGGCTGAGGAAGTTTGGCGCACTCTGTAGGGAGAGGGCCTCAGTGGGAGATCACCTTTGGTTGCAGGAGAGGAAGTGTCTTTGAGTTGGAGCTGCTGTCGGTGGGGGTGGCATAGAGGTGGGGGAGGTGGCGCCCCCTCTTGGCAAAGCCTGGCCTGAAATGTCAGAGTGTCCACCCGCATCACAGAGCAGGGCAGAGAAGGCTGTGTTCGAAGCTGAGGGGTAACTTCACAGTTGGCCAGAGGAGCAGGACTGGGATAGTTGAGGTGCTGGGAACGGCCAGGGCAGAGAAAGGAAGGCACCAACGTATTACTGAAGTGCAGCTAATTCTCGCCTCCGAGAGCCTGGCTATTGGCGAAGACTGTGGACGTGGTCCGCCCAGGTGCTAGGGAGACGGTGCAGGCCTCTGAGTAGGCAAAGGCTGAGGACTGAGGCCTCGGGCTTGGTGCCCAGGCGGTCAGCGTGGAGAGGGCATGAGCATCCAAGGCGGATGTCCGGGAGGAGAGGACCCAGGTCCAGAGAGGGATTCGGGCGCCCAGCACACGCGGCGGTCACGGTGTGAGGTGGCCAAGGCCCTAGCTGGAGGTGGGGGCGGGGGGCGCGGACCCGCCGAGGGAGCCCCTCCTGGAGGCTAGGCGAACCCTGAACCGTTTCTGAGACGCTCTTCTCCAGTCCGAAGCCCTTTCGGACTTCACTAGTGGCCGGCCTCGCCTCCCGGTTTCCCGGCGCTCCTCCGTCGGACCGACCCCTCCCCAGCCTTCTCCTCCGCGCACCGTAGCCCTCCTCGGCCCAGTGGCCTCTCCCGCGTCCGGGCCGCGGCGACCGGGCCGCAGGGGGAGAGGAGGGAGCCCGGCCCGCCGCCCGCAGAGGGAGGAGCCGGGCCGCGGAGGAGGCGGGGCGCGCGGAGCGGCCGCGGCATGGAGCGAGCCCGGCGCGCCCGGGAGCGCAGCCCCGCGGCCCCGGAGCCCTGAGCGGGCGCGGCTCGTGCGCTGGCGGGAGCGGGCCGGGCGCGGCGGCGCGGCCCATGGAGCGGCCCCGGGCCGGGCCCCCGGCGGGCGGGCGGGCGGCGGCGGGCGGCGGGTGGCGGGCGCTGCGGCGGCGGCTGCGGTGAGGCCGGCGGCGGGGCCGGGCCGCGCGCCATGGAGGCCCCGGGCGCCGGCTTCGCGTGCCCGCTGCCCCCCGGCATCGCGTCCGTCACCTACGTGTTCGTCTACAGCCCGAGCGGGCCCGGCGGCCCGGGCGGCCCCGGCCCCGCGCCCGGCCCCGGCCCGGCGCCCCCCGCGCCCCCCGCGCCGCCGCCCCGGGGCCCGAAGCGGAAACTTTACAGCGCAGTCCCCGGCCGCAAGTTCATCGCCGTGAAGGCGCACAGCCCGCAGGGCGAGGGCGAGATCCCGCTGCACCGCGGCGAGGCCGTGAAGGGTGAGGGGGCGCGGGGGGCGGGGTCGCTGGGGGCGCGGCGCCGGGCCTCCTGGGGTTCTCGGGCGCCACTCTGGGCGCCCGCCCCGCTTCTCGGGGACCGTGGAGGGTCTGTCATGAGGGGTGTCCCTGGGAACTCTGAGCGGCCGCGGTCATTATGGGATGTCTGTGCCACTGGGGATCCCTTGTGTAACTGTGAAGGGAGGGCTGTTTGTCTTTCCGGGGCTTCTGTCATGTGGGTTTCTCTCCATCCTCTGTCATCTTGGGCTCCCCAAAATGTCACCACAGGGGCGCCTCTTCTCATGGGGGTGTTTCTGTGTCGTTCTGGGGGCTGGTGGTGTTGGGGTTCTCATGTTCGTAGGACCCTATCCTGTTACAGAGCTTCCTTGAATTATGGGGTTCCTGTGTCACTTCTGGGACTTTCTTCATTGGAAACGCTTGTGATGTGTGGAATTCTCTGCCATTCTAAGGGGTATCTCTGATAGTCATGTGGGTGCCTGTAATGAGGCGATCCTGTGCTGTGACAAGCCCCTCCCATTATGGGGTCTCCTTTATCACTGGGGTCCGCCCCTCATGCGTGCCCTCTGCCCAGGGAGCCTGAGGAAGAAGCAGTTGTGTTGGTCAGCTCTCCGTGGTCCATCATGGGGCCCGACCTCCTGGCCACAGCACAGTGACCCTCAGCTCTTGGCAGTGGCCCCTGGGATGGGCACCAGAGCAAGGATGAGAGTTGGTTCAAGAGCAGGGAGGAGAGCCGGCAGAAGCAGGACTGTGGCCCCTGCCTCTGCCTCCTGTCCCCCCTCGAGTGTGTCCCATCTGTGCATCTCTTTGTCCCTCACATGCCCATCCTGTGCTGTGCCCATCTGTTCTTTTCTCTCTTCCGTGTGGATCCCAACATTTTCCCAGGGAAAAAGCCAGGCGGATGAAGGGAGGGAAGGGAAGAGAAGGAGAGAGAGGTGAAGGTTGGGTGGTGATAGTGGAGATGGAGGTCGGGGGCGGAGGGCGGTCAGGTGGGCTCTGGCTGCGCCCCTCTGCCCTGACAGCCTGTCTGGCTTCTGTCCCCCCAGTGCTCAGCATTGGGGAGGGCGGTTTTTGGGAGGGGACCGTGAAAGGCCGCACGGGCTGGTTCCCGGCTGACTGCGTGGAGGAGGTGCAGATGAGACAGTATGACACCCGGCACGGTGAGTGACCCCTGCTCCCCTTGGATGGCTCCTGAGGGTACCTCTTCTTCCAGCTTCCCATTGCTCTTGCTTGGAGGCACATCCACTTTATATTCACAGAGAAAAGACTAGAACAAATTCAAACACACAGAAGTAGATGCAAACTCATGTACATGGCAGACATGCCACATACCCCACACTTACCAACACACACGTGTACATCTGGACCCTGGACAGCTGTGGAGACACTTGTGACATGCCCACAGAATGCACTCGTGTGAATGTGCACCAGTCTGGGATCCCCCATGTGGCTCTCATGACCACAATCCTCCCTAGACAAGGTTCTTCCATCAACGCTGGATACTTGGAGTGTGTGACTGCTGTGTGGCTGGCAAGCAAGTAAAGAGGTCAGTGTGAGAAAAGAGGCGTCATTCCAAAGTGGACAGATTGTCCAAGTGGGCAGTGCAGGGAGGCCTGGACCAGCCAAGAGGAAACGAGGCCAGCTGGGCCCAGAGGGGCTGTCATGGGTGCCCCGGGGCCAGGATGGTCTAAAGGCAGCAGGTGGGGGATGACTGCATCCTCAGCCGGCAGGGAGGATGTGGGGGCAAGGGCCATGGCTCCTGGGGCTGGTCAGAAGCCTCTGTGTGAGCCGGCCGGTCACCTGTACCTCCAGGAAGGAGCCCTCTGGGTGCTGGGATCTGAGGTGGCCCTGCCAGTAGAGAGGAGAGACTGGTCCTCTCAAACCCAGCCAGAGCTGACTGCAAGCCCTGGAGGTTGCTCGACCCATGGGTATTATTTCTGGCCCCAAGAGCTAGTGGGACCAGGGAGTCCCCTCCTGAGCGGTGGCTCGTGGTGGTCACTAATGGTGTGTCTGGACCCAGGGTGCACACATCTATCTTTCTGCACACGAGGGGCTCAGACCCAGTTGCCATGCTTCCTTATCCTGGCTTGAGAATTTCCCCAGGGCAGCCCACCCCGTGTGGCCTGGGCCTCTGCCCTGGGTGGAACGTGGCCGCTGACCCACTCCTGGGCAGGATCCTTTACCGTCATCCTTGGCTGCTCACCACCTTGCCCTGATGGCTCTCCTTGTGGCTAGGAGCCTGGAAGGGACATGACCCCTTCTAGTCTGCCCAGGTGGGCAGGTGGGGTGATGTGTTGAGGTGGAAACTGATTTCAGCAGTTTGGGCGCTGGTGCCAACTGTGGACAGGAGAGGGGGGAGGAAGCCTCCAGACCTGCCCAGGGAGGAGCCCTCTGCTCCCCCACAGGGTGGGGAATGAAGGTTCTGGTTTGAGAGCTGAGTGGGTCCAGGAGCAGCTGGAGCTGAGCTGAAGCTGGGGAGGACGGGAGAGAGGTCTGGACTGGACTTAGAATTTGGGAGCAGCTAACGCTTCTTAGGTGCTTGGCATGTGCTGGATGCTGTGTTGGGAGCTGGGATCACAGGGGCTGGCTCTGCGCCGAGTGAGGAGCAGGTGTGCGCCGTGCTCCAGCAGGCATGTTGTTGTGTGACTGTGACGGCGTGAGCCCAGGGAGGCTCCCTGATTTGGTTGAAGGAGTCAGAGAGGGCTTTTAAGCAGAGGGGTTGTTTGAACTGAGCCCTGAAGGGTGGCTGGGGCCCGCCAGGTGGTCAGCTGACGGGTGAGGCAGAGCCTGTTGGCCAGAGTGTGGCATGGTCTGCTGCATCTGCACGTGCTGGCACCCAGCGTGCTCCGAGCAGGGTCAGGATCCCTGGCTTGGTTTTTCGCTCTTTTACATTTAAGAATTCACTGATTCGTCCCAGCAGGCCTGGGAGGTGGGGACAGTTGTTGTTAGTCTATCTCTAAGAGGATGGGTTCCACAGTCCGAGGAGCAGAGTCTTGTTTGCAGGGTAGGAAGTGGGCTGCCGGGTCTGTGCTGTAACCGCCACACTTCACGGGCTCTGGTGTGAGTAAATGTGAACGGGGCAGGGGTGGGGCTGGAGTCAGGGGTCCTGGGACCAGGAGCATTAGTTCGTGGCGGTGTCACAGGAGGAGGAGTCTGGGGGAGGGGGTTGCTGTCCTGATTGTGCCGTTCATTTAGGGTTAGGTGATGGTCCAGGCAGGACAAAGCAAGGAGGTGGAGCCGGGGAGGGCAGGGCTGGGCCAGGGTCATGGAGAAGGGAGAGGACACAGAATAACCTGCTGAGGGGGCTATAGGCCTCTGGGCAATGGTGGGGCCCCTGGAGGAGGGCTGGGGCTCTGGGCTTTGCAATCTGAACATGTCAGAAGGTACTGGGTAGGTGGGAGCGTTTCATAGGTTGGCAGGGAGACAGGCCTGCCAGGCTGCCTGCTGGTGGGTGGGAATCACCTCTGTCCTCATCTGCAGGCCTGGCCCAGCTGCTCTGGACAGAGTCTCTGGTCTGGGACCCAAGGGCTGAGTTCTGCCAGAGGTGAGAGGGCGGCCCAGGAACACAAACCTGCTTCCAACAGGCCCAGATCCAAAGAAGGATCTGTTTCTGAGACTGGAGCAGGGACTTAGAGGCCAAGGAGAGGACACTGCCAACACGTGTGGGCCAGGCGACACCCATGGTCAGCAGAGCGTGGCTCCCACGGTGCCTGTCTGGGTGAAGGGAGCAGGTGCAGGCAGGGAGGGTGAGCTGGTGGGGTAGGGTGGGGCGGCCCTGGGTGTTCTGGAGGCTGGTGTGGGACACCGCTGGTTCTTCCCTCCTCCCCCTTTCTTTCCAGTACTTGGGAGACCATGCTCTGTGTTTTCATTTTAGCTGGCTTTTACGTGTCTGATTAATAAAACTGGAAAATGAACTGGCGTTATGTAATAAATATACTGTGTTTGGTCAATAAATATAAAAATAGGAGGCCAGTGATCTGCAGAGGTTCTATTTTTTGGGGGGTGGGGGCGGTTCTTCTGCAGGCAGGCACTGTGAGCATTTCTAGAGTTGGGTCAGTGTGGAGAACGGTGTGGTGGAGAGCAGTCTGGGCCCCACCGGAGCCGGGCGGGGCCTGGGGACAGCAGGGTGGTGGGAGCGGGTGTGCTGCAGAGGGGAGAGAGACTATAGCACTTGGGAGGGAGCCAGTGAGATAAAACCATAGGCCGTCAGACCCGAGGGGCTTCCAAGGGGAATCTTCCTGCTCTGTGAGGAGAGGGCCAAAAGGGACTGTCGATGTGCAGAGAATCACACAAGTTAGTGGAAGGGTTCTGAAATCCACATCAGTGCTTTCCCCAACATCTGTGGGTTCTGAAATCCAGATCAGTGCTTTTCCCGACGTCTGTCTTCTGACGGTAACGGGAGCGCTTCTTCCTTTCCGGCCACTGCTCCTTCTGTCCTTTGACTCACCCACCCATCATGTCGTCCACCTACTCATCCAGCAACCCCCCAGCAAGCCCCCACCCTGCTCTCTCTCCCTCCATCCGCTTATATATGCATTTACCGTTTGACCCGTCCTTCTCTCTGTCCCTTGTTCCGTCCAGCTGTCCACCAGCCAGCCAGTCAGTTGTCTACCACTTTGCCCTCCCAGTTAGCACTCAGAACACCTGTCATGCACCAGGTGCCACGCTTGGTGCTAGGACTGCAGAGAGAAACGTGGCATAGTTCTTGCCTGCAGGGAGCTCACAGTCAGTGGAGGAGACCAGCTGTCAGAACCACAGGTTCCCTCTCGGCTCTCCTTCCCCACTGCTGTCTCTTACTCCTCTGCCCCAGCCGCCCAGGCTGCTCACTGTTCCCTGAAAGCCCCGAGCTGGCACCTGCCATGTGACTCTGCCCCGAACACCCCCATCCCCAGGAGGCCCTTTGCCCACGTAAGGAGATGCTTCCTTATCCCCTCTTTCCTTTGTTCAACTCTCCCTTCACGGTGAGGCCTTCACATGATCACCTAGAGCTGCCGTGTCCCCATCTGCTTACTTTTTCTCACTGCTCGCCAGCGTTCGACATGTTCTGTGTGTGCCTCCTCTGTTTCTTCAGCTGTGCAGTTTAGACTGTAAACTGCACAGGGTAGAGGCTTCTTTCTGTTCTCTGCTGTATTCGCAGAGCCTGGCACATAGTAGGAGCTCAGTACATAGTTCTTTAATGAATAAGTTACTCTTGAAAAATGCTAAGCTGGTAGAGAGGGAAGGAGGAGCTGAGGGATGAAATCTGAGGTGGTGGTGGAGCTGGAGAGCTGGAGCAGAGGTCCTGGGAAGCCGGAGGAAGGAGTGGGTGCAAGGGTGCTGGAGAGTCCAGCGCACAGGCCGTGGGAGAAGTCAGTCTGGAGCAGAGAGGTTGTGACTAGAGGTGTGGACTGGGACCTGCTGGCTTGCAGGACGTCAGCAAGGCCGAGGTGGGGTAGCAGGTAGCTGGCCAGCTCTGCAGGGAGAGCATGATGGAGTAAAGCTCTGTGGGAGGCAGTGAGAGCAGGCAGGGGGACCCGCCCCCCAAACCTGGACCCCTCCCTGCCCACTCAGAGAAATGATCTGGAGCAAAAGCGCCGTGAGAGTGAGCATCCCTGTGGCGAGGGACACATTAAGACACAAGGCTGCCTCCATGCCAGAGCATAAGAGCAGGTAGCGTGACACTTGCACTTGCACACACAGACATGCACAAGCACAGTCACGTGTCTGAGCACAACACCTGCACGTGACTGCAGGTCACACAGACATATGCCTGTTTGAACACGGCGCTTGGACACGGCTCCAGGCCACGCACGTGCGCGTGCTCGCCTTCTCTGCCCGGAGTTTTGGGGCCTGTTGGCTGTCTCTGTGGTTGCCCTGGCCTTGTCTGGCCTGCTCTGTGCAGCCACGCAGAAGGGCGAGCCGCAGCCCCTGCCCCTTCTGGGCCCTGGACCCTTTCCTGCGTGGTCCCCTCAGCCTTCTCACCTTAGGACCACTGGGCCCAGTACCCCAGGGTTTGGACCCCTCTTTCCATGTGGGCGCAGCCAGGCCAGGGGCATGTGTGTGGGCAGAGGCTGGTGGCCCGCACAGGTGAGGGGGGTTCAGGCCAGTTGGAGGATGAGACCCTCCGTCAGTTCCTCAACCTCCCCTCAGAAACCCGGGAGGACCGGACAAAGCGACTTTTCCGCCACTACACGGTGGGCTCCTACGACAGCCTCTCTGCACACAGGTACAGAAGGGGCGGGTGGGCTGGCGGGCGATGGGGTCAGATGGGTGGGGGAGGCCCCGGGGGGGAGCAGTCAGCGGGGAGGAGTGGTGCCCAACCCACGCATCTGCTGCCTCCCCAGTCAGTGCAGGGACGACTCCCAGAGCGGGCGCTGCCCACGGACCCTGTCTGGGGCACGTGTGGGGTCAGCCTGATCCGAGTGCTTTCGGCAGGGTTCTTCTCACCTCTCCATTTTCCTTCATCAGTGACTATGTCATTGACGACAAGGTGGCTGTCCTGCAGAAACGGGACCATGAAGGCTTTGGTTTTGTGCTCCGGGGGGCCAAAGGTAATGACGAGGGGGGTGACCCACTGGCGAGGGTGTCCTTGGAGCTGGGCCCCTGCCCCTCCCCTCTGCTTGCCTCCTGCCTGGCCCCTGCCCGCCTTCCACTGCCCGCTCCCTTCCTGTCTCCCTGCCGTGACTCTCTATTCTGGGTTTGGGATGTTGGTAGGAGGCAGCAGTTCTGTTCCCTCCCTGATTTTCGGGGCCTCTGCTGAGTGTGTCTAATGGAGTAGGGGCCTTTCTGGTGGGGTGTGGGGTGGGCCCCTCAGAGGGGTGCGTCCGGGATTGCTGGGCCGGCTCTTCTTGCCCTGGGCAGCCCTGTCTGCGGCCCTCCGGCCCAGGCCGTCCACGGGAGGTTGCTGTGTTGCCACCGCCTCCCCTTGGACCGCCCTGGCGGCGCCAGCGTTGACCGCCCCCGCCCCGTCCCACAGCAGAGACTCCCATCGAGGAGTTCACGCCCACGCCGGCCTTCCCTGCGCTCCAATACCTCGAGTCGGTGGATGTGGAGGGCGTGGCCTGGAGGGCAGGGCTGCGCACGGGAGACTTCCTCATCGAGGTGAGGCTGGGCCTTCCCCGTGCGCCCCGTGGGTACTGGCCTCCAAGCCCAAGAGGCCTCACTGCACTCCCCCTCCCCGCCCTGGCCCTGACCGTTCCAGGTGAATGGCGTGAACGTGGTGAAAGTCGGACACAAGCAGGTGGTGGCTCTGATCCGCCAGGGCGGGAACCGCCTCGTCATGAAGGTGGTGTCAGTGACAAGGAAGCCGGAAGAGGACGGGGCTCGACGCAGAGGTGAGTGCTGGGGTTCCGCTTCTGTCCCCTGACCTTAGACCTTTGATCCCGGGCCTACGCTCCTCTCCTCAGCCAAGACTGCTGACCTCAGGGGGCCTGAACCTAGGCGAACACCCACGTGCGTGGCCTGGGCGCACATCCCTGACGTCAGACAGCCAGCCCTGTCCCAGCTTCTGACCCCTGACCCCAGGTTGCCCTCCTGAGATCCCTTCCCCGTCCTTCCCGGTGCCCCCCAGCCCCTGGCATGGAAGAGCCCTCCTTCCTAACGCTGCCAGCAGCTGCTTGGAGGCCGGGGTTGCCATGGCAACTGTGAGGTTGACGCTGCCGCCGCCGCTTATTGTCGGAGGGAAGGGGGAGGCGGCACCTGCGGGAACAGGAAAAGCGTCTTCTCCCCGCGCCGGCGCCGCCCGGGCTGTGCCGCCCGCCGCCCCTGCCCAGGCCCTGGCCTGGCTGCCCACACCCCGGCCCCCTGAGGGGCAGTGGCGTCCGGGGCCTGGGGGAGCCCTGGAGCGGCAGAAGCCCCGCTGGCGGGAGACCCCTCCCAGCCCCCACCCCATGGCTCTGGGGTCCCCTGCTCAGCCCTTGAAACTGCAGCCTGGGTCCCCGGCCGGGGCCGGCCAGCCGGCCTGTGAGCTCCCTGGGGCCCTGACTGCCTCCTGAGGCCCCAGCGGCCCTGGCCCAGCCTGACCTTCAGCCCCGCCGAGCACCCAGCACCATGAAGAAGTTTGCATCCAGCCGCAGCCTCAACAAGATCCTGGCCCAGTGTGACTCGTCCTCCCGGGAGTACGAGGAGATCCAGGCGGTGGAGCGCAGGTGGCACCTGCACCTGGCCACGCCACGCTGCCTGCTGCTAGACAGGAGGTCCAAGGCCTCCCTCTTCTTTGCAGCCCCGCCGCCCCCTAAGAGAGCCCCCAGCACAACGCTGACCCTGCGCTCCAAGTCCATGACAGCAGAGCTTGAGGAGCTTGGTGAGCGGCGGGGCAGGTGGGAGGCAGATAGCCCTGGTGGGGGGGGAGGCTGGCCCAACTCAGGCAGAGACAGAGGGGAGGACGGATGGACAGACAGATGTATGAACAGGTCAGAGGTAAATGTGTGGGTGCTGGAGTGGTTGGGGAACTGGGCTGAAGAGGGAGGTGGTGTGTGGCTGGACTGGGGGCCAAGGGGCAGGGTGACAGGCCTGGAGATGGACAGTGGGGTGCCCAGGTCTGGGGGCAGGGGGGCAGGGCCTGGCCGCCACTGTGTTTGCCTGCATGAGCCTGTGCTGCCCCTGGTCTCCCACGCCTCCAGTGTGACTTTGCTCCTTCATTTCATCCAAGTGAGAAGAGGGGCCCTGAGCTTGGCTCCAGGAGCTAAATGTGTGGTCTGTCTGTGCCTCCCCAACCCTCTTAGCACCTACTTATGCATTCGCTAAGCAGGGTAATTACAGTGAGCTGCTGACCTCACAGGGCCGTGTGAACATTGCTGGTACAATGATGGAACAGGCCCTCATGAGTGGCCGGAGGCAAAGAAGAGTGTGTTGGGGCTTTGATGGGCGTGTGGGGGCCACAGTCCCAGGATGACCATCAGTGGCCTCATCAATGGCATGTTCAAATAATACATGACCATGTCCTGACGTATGGACAGTTAATAATGGTCATGCCCTGACTTACATGACCAATGAATATCTTCATCATCGCATGTTCCAATATACATGACTGCTAACATGCTCTATCCTTCTATAATCTGGTCTCAATCCTAGTCTGGTTCCAGCCATAGAAGGACCCTCACTCTGGTCCTAAGATGAGCTGTGACCCAGTGCTGGGCACAGGAAGGGCCTTGATCATGGTTCTAAACTGAGCCCCAACCCTGGTTTCAGGCTTGGTTCTGCCCCAGCCATAGAAAGAGCCCTTACCTGTCCCCTAAAATTATTTCTAGCTTTCCTCATGGACTGACCCCTGACCCTCGTCCTTTGCTGAGCCACCCTCTTTCAAGCAGGTACTCTTGACTGCAGTTTAGTTCAGTGTGGAGGACAGCCACCAAGATAGATTGAGCTGATGTGGTCAGGACCTTCTTCTCCCTAAATATTCTGGATAAAGCAAAACTTTAAAAATACATAGCCAACTCAGAATGAAGGGGAGAGGAATTTCCCAGTTCTCAAAAATGAAGAGAGGAATCAGAGCCAAGAGTGTGAGAGGAAGCTGATGCTTCCATAATCCATGAGGTCTTGGGACAGATACAGATCCCGAGGGCAAGGGATCAGGGCTCTGATGCCCCTACAAAACCCAAGAGATGTGGAAAAGCTAAAACCAAGCCCCAAACTGGAATTAGCATCAGAAGAACTAGGAATCATAGAATAATGTGAAAGAGACAATTCAAGTTGTTTAAACACCAACTTCAACAGAACTCATAAGGCAAGAATAGGACAGTGAGAAAAATAAGCAGATTTTAAGAGGATTCCTAAAGAACTGTTACTGAAACAAAGTTTAGCCACTGAGATTTTAAAAATCCATGCTTGGGGAACAAGTATACTGACCTACCCGAAGGAAGAAACTAAATTAAATTTAAACTGAATTAAATGATAAATCTGAGATTACCCAAAATTCAGCCCAGAAAGATAATGAGATGAAAATTATCAAAAAGCAGAAAAGAGATATGGAGGACAAACCAGACAGCCTAAATAAAGTCCCAAGGGAAAGGGTAAAAACATTGAGGAAGAGGCAATATTAGAAGAGTAAATGACTAAGAATTTTCTAAAATTGAACAAGGATATGAGACTCCAATTTGCAGGAGTCTTAAGTCTGAAGCAATGGAGTGACGAGTTCTGGTAGTAAGAGTTCACAGCACCATAGATGAAAGGGAAAATCTTAACTGCCAGAGAATGATGACTTGGAAAGGAACAGGGGTCAGACTGACAGCAGAGTCATCGTCAGCAACAGCAGATTCTGGAAGACAGTGGAACAGTAACTTCAAAGTCTTGAGTCAAAATGTTTTTCCACCTGGAATTCTGTGTCCAGTAAACTCACTCAAGAGTAAGGGAGAGAAGTGGGCGGACTCTGGGTCACAGGGTCTGAGACTAGTCATGGGCAGCGGACCCATCACACTGTTTGAGGCTCCAAACCGATCAATAAACCAACGCCAGTCGGCAGTGGATCTGGCTAGACCCCACACTAAGGCTCTGGTGGGTGGTTCCCAGAAGTCTCCTGCCAGAGGCCCCGTTCAGCTGCATGTTCCGAAGGGATCCTCCCCGCTTTGCACAAAGAGGTGCTTGGACAGCCTGAGGTCTTTCATCCAGGGTCTCAGGGACTCTGCCCTGCTGAAACAGAAGAACTGTCTTTTGCTTTCTGGGCTGCTGCTGTCTGCAGAGACCAGTGCGTGGAAGAAGAGCCTCCTTCCTCTCTGGTCTGGGTGTTTCCTCTGCTGCCTTCTGACAGGGTGGCTCTGTAGACCCGTCTTCCAGAGGGAAGGGGCTCACTCTTGTGGCCTGAGGTCAGCATCCTTCCACCAGCTTTTCCTGAACAGAGTCTGGGGAAGGGGAAGGGACAGCTTTGCACAGAGCCTCCATGCACACTGCTGAGTGAGGGGTCGCAGTTTTAGCTGAACTGGACCCAGGCCCTTCCTGTGGTTCTGTTCCGAGAAGGGCCTGGGTAGACAGGAGCACAGGAAGACCACTCCTGCCCCAGAAGACAGGTGTTCTGGGGAGCCAGCCCACTTGCTGACCTTCTCTAGACAGATATGGCTTGTTTGAGAAAGCCAGGCTGGCACCAGGGTCTTCTCAGGTACCTAAGCAATCATCCCATGATTCACTGTGCTTTTAAAAGGTAGAAATCAGACCCATGGGTTCCTTGCCAGCATAAACACATTACTTTTATGTCACAACATCAAGGGCGGATAGGGCCCTTAGGTGTCCTGCAATCTATTGAGAAGATGACCTGAACACGTGGAAAAAAATGAAAATATGAGGCCGCAGAAGAAGCAGGTGGCAAGGATGGGGCCCAGGCCAGGTGGTGCCTTGCTGTTCAGAGGGTCCTCAGGAGGAAGAGGAAGGGAGGTGTGTCCTGGGGGTGCTGTCCCAGCAGAGGGGGCTGAGGAGGCTGGCAGAAGTTGGGTTAAGAGGAAGGGGTAGGGCAAAGACTCTCCCTGTGAGAAGAAGGGAGGAGGAGGAGGAGGGCAGGACCTCTCAGTCACCATGTGGTCAGTGCCTAGTTCCGGCCCAGGACATCCTGGGGCAGCAGACGTCAGCGGGGGCCCAGGCCAGAGCGGCCCCGAGGGGCCGGAGCACCTCCAGTTCATCCTCTTTCTCATGAGAAACCTGGAACTTCTGGGTTCCTTTTTCTTTTGGGATGAGAATGTCAGGGCAGGTGCCATGCCGGGGTGTGCTCCCTGACTGGCCATGGTCCGGCAAACACACTGACCTGCCCGTTTTGGAAACATACTTCAGGAATGCTCATGGGCGACCATTGCACCATTGCTGGTGTCTGAAGTGGGTTTTTATGAGGTTTTGCCTTTTTTCTGAACCAGTGTTTGATTCAGCCAAGTATGATTTAGTCGTGCATTCACATGTGCATGTCTGCATGTGTGTGTGGATGTACACAAGCATGTGTTTGTGAGCACGCGTGTGTGTGCATGCACATAGCATTGTCCCTGCTTGTGTTCCCACCTTGAATTTCCTGTACCAACCTGGCATTTGGGTAGATGTGCCACTCCCAATCTGACGGGGATGTAGGCTGGGAGGGAGGGGATGGGGAAGGGGGGTGCGAGTGGGGGGTGGAGCCCAGGTGCTGAGGGACAAAGTTTGCCTCTCACCCCATTTACTCTGTTTCTTGATTCCAAGCCTCCATTCGGAGAAGGAAAGGGGGTGAGTCATCTGCTGTGCCCCCAGGCCCAGCTTTGCCTGACCCCTGGCGAGGGAAGGTGTGTCAAGTCAGGGGGTCTGGAAGCCTGTGCTGTACCCTCCTGTCGGCCTTCTCCCTGGGGAGCTGCTAGGGGCACAGTAGAAGGACCTGGGAAGGGTCAGATGGGCTGGGCTGGGCTGGTGAGCGTAGCCACAGGCCTTGGGGGCTCAGGCGGGCTGGGCGGCAGTGTGAGGGCCTGGGAGTCTGAGACAGAAGAGCCCCCAGGGGAAGCCACGGCCTGTGCCAGGCCTGGAGTGGAGGAGGAGCTTCAGGGGGCCCAGCTGAGAAGCTCCCTGGGGCGACAGAGTGGCTGGGCCGGTGGGGGCAGGATGCCGGGTGCTCAGCCCCAGCTTGGGTGGTTTTCTCGGGCTCCTGTGCCTGGTGTGTGGGTTCTGTTTCTGCCCTGATCTGTTGTGGGATTCAGGCGAGTGCAGACATCCTTTCAGGGCAGGGATCTGGGCCCCACAGCTGGGTGGCCTTCAGCACCCTGTTCCTCGCATCAGGGTGTCCCCCCCCCCCCCCAATCCTTTGAGCCTCCTTCCTGCACATCCGTGTGTCCAGCCTGGCTGGGCCTGGGCACTGAGTTCCCGTGTCTGCCGGCTCCACCTGTCAGGTGGACGTGAACCTCTGTCTGCGGCGCAGTCATCCGTGCCAGACGGGAGCCTGTGAGGGCTCGGTTGTGTGTGTCCCCGCCTCCCCCATTCCTGGGTCTGCTGGGCGTTCCCTGTGCTTGGGGCGCACTCACCTGTCTCAGCCCAGGTTCCCCGTGCGACCAGCGATCTTGCCCTCTTGAGTTTTCCCACTGTCTTTGCCCCAGTCCCAGGTGAAGTGCTCTCCCCAGGGTATTTTCAGGTAGAAAACAGATGACTAGGTCTCCTCTGGGGACATTTTTCTTCACACCTTTGAGGCAGACACATACGCTATTTTAGGAATGTTTTGGTTCTGCCCTTAGCTCATTAGCGCGGCTTCCAGGGTGCTCTGGTGTGGCCTGTGTGCTGCTTCCAGCTGTAGGGGACGTGGTGGCGATTGTCACCTCCGAGGGCCCCTCATCCCATCTCAGGTCCTGGTTCAGAGAGATGCGTCCCCAGCTGCGTCACTGCCATGTCTGGTCCCCACACCCAGTGTGCCTGCGGGCGGTGGGAGTGAGCAGTTCCAGGGCCGCAGGCCTGTTTCCTAATGGCCTTCATTTCTTTTTTCTTTAAGAATCTAAAGTAATTTATTTAATAATATATTTTTTTCTCATTTTGTTGGGGATTGTGGTCAACCTCACCAGCTTGTAGTTTGCAGAATTCTTGGTTCTTTTCCTTTTGAAAATAAGTCTTGTCTGGCCTCGGGCCCCCTTGCTGGTGGCCAGCAGTGGTTTTGCTTTGCTAACTTGCTTTGTGTCTCTGGAACTGAGTTCTTCTGGACCTAGAGATGCAGCCTGTAAATACCCAGCTCAGGGATGTGCCCTATGTGTCACATGGAAATATTTTCTCTCTGCTCATGTCGTTATGTCTGCGGTTTTTGGATAATCTGGTTGTGATGTCTGATCTATTATTGGATCTATGATTTGGGGCACCTCCTCTACCCAGAGCTTCAGATTCTTCCTGGTGGAGTGGAGACAGTAGCTGTGTCTTCTGCCTGTGGTTGTTGCGGGATGTAGTCTCTTCTCACCCTGGAAGTCACCAAGTGAAAAGTGAAAGTAAAAGTCGTTCAGTCGTGTCCAACTCTGCGACCCATGTCCATGGGATTCTCCAGGCCAGAATATTGGAGTGGGTAGCCGTTTCCTTCTCCAAGGGATCTTCCCAACCCAGGGATACGAACCCAGGTCTCCCACATTGCAGCTGAATTCTTTACCAGCTGGGCCTCAAGGGACTTAGCAAATGGTGGTGATGGGGATTCAGCTTCCAAAGGGAAATCACTCAGTTCATTACAGAAGCAAAAGGAAGGCCCCTCTGACCCCCACTGCCCCTGGGGGTGCTGAGAGCTGTGCACAGGCCAAGTGGGCTGGTCTGCAGATAAAAGTGTGTTTTGTTGGTGACTCCAGCATTTGTTGAACTTCCATGTTATTTGGGGCCTAGGTTGGATGCTCAGGACATGCAGGCACGGATGGCTATTTGCTCTCTTCTCCCCACGGGCTGTTTGGGGAGGTGAGGTACAGAGACACGAAGGGTTGTAGAAAGCATATCCTCAGTGCTTGCCTTGAGCCAGGCACAGCTGCAGCACTTTGGCCGTATGTGCTGATTCTCACAGCAGACGCTGAAGTGGGTACCTTTTTATGCCTGTTTTATCAGATCAGGAAATCAAGTGACAAAGAGACTGGGTCAGGACAGTCAGTATATAGGATGGAACTGGACTTCTCAGAGGAGTTTATTTCCGCCCCTATGGCAATTGCTGAGCAGTGCTGGGAGGAGGTGTGGTTGACTCCCGCGCTCCTGCTGGGGCACTTGGGGCATCAAGGGACTAGTCATAACCAGAGTGTGCTCCTGTATGGGGGGGCGGGGCTGGGAGGTTTGGAGGCTGAGTGATAGGTGGGTCTCAGTGGGGCTACGGACAGGCAGGCCAGGTGGCAGCCGGGTAGACAGTGGAGCTGCCTCCCCCTCTGCTGTGTCCCGTGTCCTGGCCCTACGTGGACCCTCCGCAGTCATCCAGACACACTTGTTTAACAGAATTTCCAAGTCATGTTGTTAATCAAAACTACCGCTTTCAAAAACATTAAATAGCTTTAAGAAAAACGAGCAAGCAACGCTTTTCTTTCATGACAGATTTGAAAAGAATGCCTCCCGAGGGCACCTGGTTTAGGCCTCAGCCCCAGGCTGGTCCTTCTCCCTCCTAGCTTCTGGGGCAGCTTTTTGAGGGGCTGCTGGAAGCCCCTCAGCATTGCCTTTCCCAATAGCCTCTTCTTAACACCTCCCACCCTAGATGGAGCTGCTTTTCGAGTTGTAGGTTCTGGGGCCTCCTCCTCTGCGTAGAGCTATGCTTTAGGTCTTTAGCCTGGGGCAGTGAACCACCCCCTACCCCGACCCTGGTTTTGGTTTGTGCACATTCCTTATGGACGCTGGCCGTGCACCAGGGTCTGATCTGGAGCTGCTGCTTACCTCCGTGCAGTGAGGGTACAGACGGGAATAATGCAAGGGCAACGGGAAACTGGGAAACTCGGGGAGTCTCTGGCTCTGAACAGTACTGCCCCTGCTGTGGTTCTCCCCATCATGGTCAGTCAGGCTTTCCTGGAGTGGCATTCATGGGGTCACCTGGAGCCTCCCTGAGGGAGAGGCCAGGCTGGAGTAGGGGCTGGTTCTGGCGTGGGCGGGGCTTAGGTGGGACACAAGTCCTGGGCCTCCTGTCGTGGGTCAGGAATGCATGCCTTGGGGAGTGAGGGCCGGGCTGGGCCGGGCCGAGTGGCCTCTGTCAGCAGCCCCGGGAGGTCCAGCTTCGGGGGAGGCTGTGTCTGGGGCTGCAGAAGCTGTGGCAGGGTCAGGGGCCCCGCGGCTGAGGTGGCACCTCTTTGGCTGTGCAGAGAAGCTGGACGAGATCCTGGCGGCCGCCGCGGAACCGGCACTGAGGCCGGACATCGCGGATGCGGACTCGAGAGCGGCCACCGTCAAACAGCGGCCCACCAGTCGGAGGATCACCCCTGCTGAGATCAGTGTAAGCCCGCCTGGCAGCGGGGGCAGGGGCGTGGGTGGGGCACAGGGGCCGTGTCCCCTTCCCGCTGCTTGTGCATTTGGAGGGTGAGGGTCCCTCATTTGGACTCCACTCTTCAGGGGTGGGGGTGAAGGACCCCAAAGCCTCTTCCAAAGACACTGGGGGCCATCTGAGCCCCCAGAACAGCCACAGTTCAATGCGTGCTGAGTTCTCACCCTTCTGGCTGTGGTGCTTGATGCCTCCTGCCTTAGGCATGCTCTGTGCCCCCTAGAGCAAGGACCCCAGCCAAGCTGAGGTCACAGCATGGTATGTCTCTGTCCCCCACCGCCCACTTCTGGGCTGTTTCCACCCACCCCCCCCCCCCACCCCCCCCCACCCCCGCTCGCAGCCTCACCGAGGCCCCCTGCCTGCCCTGGCCCCGTCTGCAAGAACCCTGCCCAGGGCTGCCTGGGTCCCACAGCTCTGCCCCTGCTCCTCGGAGGCAGGACCTGGCTCTGGCTTCTGTGTCAGCCACCATGGGCACCAGGGCTGCTGGAATTAGCACATGGGGAGGTCTGACCTCAGGCTTAGGAGGAGGATGGGTGGGGCTGGATGGGGAACTAGGGACCCCAGTGCTCTAGAACCTCCATATACCCCTGCCCCCTCCAACTCTCACAGTCACTGTTTGAGCGCCAGGGCCTCCCAGGCCCGGAGAAGCTGCCAGGCTCCCTGCGGAAGGGGATTCCACGGACCAAGTCTGTAGGTACGGCTGGGCTGGGGGCTGCATGGGGCTGGAGGACTGGGTGGGGGCTGGAGTGGGTGCTGGGCCGGAGGCCCCTGTCTCTCCCCACCCTTCCGCTGAGGTTGACAGTTTCTCTCGAAGTCCTGCCTCTCCCTGGCAGCAGCCCAGGAATCTCATTTGTTTGTGGACATATATGGGGGTGAGGGGGTGTTAGTCCTTCACCCAACCAAGAGATACTTTGCTGAAAGAGGCCCCTGAGGCTTCTTCCTGTCCCTCCCCACCAGCGGGCACCCCCGTCCTGCCCTCCCACAGACGCCAGCGTCCCTGTGTCTGGCTGTGCCCCCTGCAGCCCGAGCACATGTCACATTTCTTTTATTTTTATTTTTTTTATTTTTTTACATGTCACATTTCTGATGCTAAAGCTACTGTCCCCTTGAACCTGCCTCCTCCCCATCTCCAGCGCTTCAGCTACTGCTCTACGTCTCTCTTCTCCTTCACAGGCAGTTTTCTCCAGAAGTCCCCCTACTTGTCCCTGTCTCCCCACCTGCTTGTTGGCCTGAGGCAGGCCAGCCTTGTCCATACTTAAAACTGAAATTGTTCCCACTGGGGATCCCTCCCAGTGGACACGCTTGATTTTCCTGCTCCCTCCTCCTTGAAACTTTCCTCTCTAGGACTTCAAGGACAGTTGCCATCTCCCCCTCAGTTCTCAGTCTCCATCTCTCCCCTGCAGGACGTGGGTCTTTCTCAAGGCCGTGTCAGCCTCTTTGCCTTCGGCACCTGTCCCCGTGGGGGTCTCATTTCCCGTCACCCTTGGCCATCTCCTCTCCTGACCCTGCGCTGGATCATCTAAGAAGCCCTACCCACCATTCCTCCTTCTAGGCATCTGGCCCCCTTACTTCCCCAACTGTTCATCCATCCACTACAAACATGTCCAGTTTTCTGTCCATCTCTTCACCCACTGACCTGTCTACTTTCCATCCCTTTGTTCCTGTGTACCCCACAGCGCCCAGCAGAGCAAATGCCTCGTCAATACTTACTCCAGCATTGTGCTCACATGCACTGGTACAGTTAATACTTACAGGAGCCTTCCTGAGATAACACTCTCAGTACCTCTAGATTGCAGATGAGGAAACTGAGGCAAAGAGGAAAAATGACGTGACCCGGGTCACACAGATGCCTTGCCTGTCTTCTGTTCACTCATCTGGCTAATCAGCTGCAAACTGATTGCAAATCCAGTCCCTTATTCACCTCAGGGCCCCTGCTGATAATACTCTAAGCTGATGCTGGGCAGGGTCTGGGGACTCAGTTGGGGGATGTGACATGTCTGCAGACAGCTCAGCTCAGCAGTTGCATGGTAGGTATGCAGGCATATTTACTAGAGAGGACCAGTCATGCTTGTGTGTTAAGGAAGGCTGGGGAGTGTGTGTTTGGGCTCAGACATGCAGAACGCCTGGGGGTTTCTGGGAGATAATGGGATGAGTTGCTGACAGCAGTGGTCCTTCAGAGACTGCTGTGGTCGTTTCTGTAGGTGGAAGGTTGGAGAAGAGGGCACATGAGACTGCAGCTATTTTGGAGCCAAGAAGCACGTCCCCCGCACGTCCCCCTCACCTCCCTGGGCATTCTGTGTTTTCCTCCTTATTCTCTGGATGCCCCACTGAATTAGGAGTGGTGTGCTTCCTTACACACCTTGCAGCCCTACCTGGCCAGGCCTCACTGTCTTGTGCCTCAGTCTCTGAAGACCGCAGCTTGGGTCTCCCCTTGACCACCTGCCCCAGCTTCACCCTCTGTTTACCCTCTAGTCCACCTCTCTGGCCAGAGAGGGTATCACCTCCCATCTGCTAGCGTTAATCCTCTGTGGGCTCCGCGTTGCCTCGGGGCCCTAGTGCATCCTCTGCTGCTTCATCTGGGGATGTTTCTCTGTCTCCTTCTGACTTGGCTCCGACACACACTGTTACCCACCTACCCTCACTCTGGCTGGATGACCTGTTCCTCAGCCCCACTCAGTCCCAGTACTGACCCCCGCAGGTCCAGATCTAAGTGCCTGTCCTTCAGGCTGTGAACCTCTCAGTGGAGATTGCCAGCTTTTCCTTTCCTGGACACTCCTGGGCTCAGTCCACAGGGAGCTTGTCTTTAATCCTCCATGCCCTAGCCTGCCACCTGTCACTCACTTGAACACTGATTGATGTGTCAAGACTCTGGGGCTCCTAACCCCTTGTCCTGTCTATGTGACCCTGGGCACACATTTCAGTCCTTGAAATTCAGGGTCCTGACCCGTAAACATGAGGACCTTCTAGTACCTACCTCCTAAGGCCACTCTGAGGTTCACCCAGAGGGCTGTACTCACATGCAGATAGTAGCTGTAGGTCCTGCATCACGAGGCTGGTGCACAGAGAGTGCTGGAGAAATGCCCGCAGTTATTATTTGGGCAGAGGGCCCTACCTTCTCTGCATCAGAACAGAGTCTCATTTTCACCCCAAGGCAAGTGACTGGTTTTCACCCTGGGTTAGAACGTGGTGTGCCAAACCTTCTGCATCCTCCAGGAGCACTAGCTTGTCCCGCGTGGCTCCAGCTCGTGCACAAGTGGGTGGGTGTTGAGCTGCGTTTATATGCCACACAAGAAATGTGGCGGGGAGGAGACCCAGGCCAAACCTGGCCCAGAATCTGTGTCCAGCAGTGGGGGTGGAAGGCAGACCTAAAAATGATGATGGTGATGGTGATGACGATCTTAGCTGCCTTCCTGGGGTGCTTCTGGGGGTGCTCAGCCCTGTGCAATAAGCTTTAAACGGCTCCACGTCACACTTCCGTGGGAGGGGGCAGATCTCCAGCCATGAGGAAACTGAGGTGTCAAGAGGTTAAGAAACATCAGACAGTAACTGGCAGAGCTGGAATTCAAGCCTTATCCTACACAAGAGCCTCCAGCCCCACCCCACACCCCTTGTGCTGTCATGTGGACACAGGCGGACAGCGCTGTGTGGGAGGACTGCTAGAGCGCCACGGCGGCCAGAGGGGGCGGTGGGTGGGGAGCAGGCGGTCTGCATAGAAGTGGCAGAGCCCTGAGCGAGGCCAGGTGTAGATTCCCAAGGAGTCTTCCCAGATCCCTGTGTGTCAGCTCTGAGGGGCCGCTCTCCCACTCTCCTTGGACTGGGCTGTTTTACACCTGCAGCCTCACTGAGCACACCTGCGGCACAGGTGTCCACATTGTACGCGGGGACACTCGGGAGGTCCTGCCAGGTTCTAGCGAGGCGGCAGGACAGTGGGGGCCCTGTGTGCTCCAGCCCTGCTCTTGCACAGACCCTGATGACATCGGAGTGAGGCAGGAGGTAGGGTTCATTTTAACTTTGTGTTGCCCATGAGAGAACTGGGGCGTTGAGGGGCTCAGGGCCTGGCGTAGGGTCACACAGCCAGTAAGGAGTCAGACTGGAACGTGGGTCAAGCACTCAGCCTGCCATCTGTCCTCTGCCCAGCCTTCCCGAATTTCTGCCACTAGGGCTATGGCAGTTCACGGGGGCGCAAAGAACTGGACACGACTTAGTGACTGAACGACAAGGGCTGTGGCAGTGACCTCCTGGCAGCCTCCCCCAGCCCAGTGCCCATCTGTCGCTAGGATGGAACCTCTTTGGACCTGTCTCTTCACAGAGCACCACTCACCCGGGCATCAGCTCTCTTTTCCTGGCCACAGTCCTGCTGCCCCCGTGCCTGCAGTGAATCACTCCTGCTTGGGAGAGTTCCCCCTCGTATCTGACGTGTTTCCCTTCCTCCAACCCCGGGTGCCACCAGGGCCTCCCAGTGACACCTGCTTATTCCGCTGCTGGTGGCTCTGAGAGGAGGCCTTGCTCAGTCTTGGGCAGGAAGGCCTGCTCCAACCACCCCTCACCCTTCTCTGCAGTTCTGTCCCCGCTGCTGGGGTGGGGGTGGCGCGGGGCTGCTGTCTTTGGGCCCTGTCCATGGATCAGAATTGGAGTCTTCTCTCAGAGCCTCTGCTGCTGGGCCCTCCTCTCCCCTGTATTTGAACCCATCCCTCTCCCCAGTCCGCAGGAGCCCTACCAACCCGACACCCGGCTTGAGGTGCAGAGCCTGGCCTTCCGGGACCAGTCCAGACTGAGGACGTTGCTCAGACCCCCTGCCCTGGGCTCTCCGTGTCTCCCCGAGTCTCCCTCCGCTCTGTAACCCTAGTGCCCACGCCCACCCTGACTCCTGACTCCGTCCTCCGGCGGGCAGGCCAGCAGCTCTAGCAGATTTTGAAGATACCTTTGCGCCAGGACCTGGGTTACCCCCGGGGGTGGGGGGAGCGCAGGCGCCCGGGTCCGGAGGGGCCTACTCGCAGGCCTTGGCCCTCGGGGCCACGGCTGGGCTCACGAGGGCCTCTGTCTGCAGGGGAGGACGAGAAGCTGGCGTCCCTGCTGGAGGGGCGCTTCCCGAGGAGCACGTCGATGCAGGACACGGTGCGCGAGGGCCGTGGCATCCCGCCCCCTCCGCAGACCGCGCCGCCGCCCCCTCCCGCCCCCTACTACTTCGACTCTGGGCCGCCCCCCGCCTTCTCGCCACCGCCGCCTCCGGGCCGCGCCTACGACACCGTGCGCTCCAGCTTCAAACCCGGCCTGGAGGCACGCCTGGGCGCGGGCGCCCCGGGCCTGTATGATTCAGGCGCGGCCCTGGGTCCGCTGCCTTACCCGGAGCGGCAGAAGCGCGCGCGCTCCATGATTATCCTGCAGGACTCGGCGCCCGAGGCGGCCGACGCCTCTCGGCCCCCGCCAGCGGCCACCCCGCCGGAACGCCCCAAGCGGCGGCCACGGCCACCGGGCCCCGACAGCCCCTACGCCAACCTGGGCGCCTTCAGCGCCAGCCTCTTCGCGCCGTCGAAACCTCAGCGCCGCAAGAGCCCGCTGGTGAAGCAGCTGCAGGTGGAGGATGCGCAGGAGCGCGCGGCCCTGGCCGTGGGCAGCCCCGGCCCGGGCGTCGGCAGCTTCGCCAGGGAGCCCTCTCCGACGCACCGCGGGCCGCGGCCCAGCGGCCTCGACTACGGCCCCGGAGATGGCCCCGGGCTGGCGTTTGGCGGCCCGGCCCCAAGCAAGGACCGGCGGCTGGAGGAGCGGCGGCGCTCCACCGTGTTCCTGTCTGTGGGCGCCATCGAGGGCAGCCCTCCGACCGCGGACATGCCCTCCCTGCAGCCCTCCCGCTCCATCGATGAGCGCCTTCTGGGAACCGGCGCCACCACCACCGGCCGTGACCTGCTGCTGCCCTCCCCAGTTTCTGCTCTGAAGCCATTGGTTAGCGGCCCGAGCCTCGGGCCTTCCGGCTCCACTTTCATCCACCCGCTCACCGGCAAACCCCTGGACCCTAGCTCGCCTTTGGCCCTGGCCCTGGCGGCTCGCGAGCGGGCTCTGGCCTCCCAGGCGCCCTCCCGGTCCCCTACACCTGTGCACAGCCCCGACACCGACCGGCCCGGGCCCTTGTTTGTGGATGTGCAGGCCCGGGACTCGGAGCGAGGGCCTCTGGCCTCGCCAGCCTTCTCCCCCAGGAGCCCAGCCTGGGTTCCCGTGCCTGCGCGGAGGGAGCCCGAGAAGGTGCCCCGGGAGGAGCGCAAGTCCCCGGAGGACAAGAAATCCATGATCCTCAGCGTCCTGGACACGTCCCTGCAGCGGCCCGCTGGCCTCATCGTCGTGCACGCCACCAGCAATGGGCAGGAGCCCAGTGGGCTGGGGGCCGAAGAGCAGCGCCCTGGCACCCCGGAGCTGGCCCCGGCCCCCACACAGTCCGCTGTGGTCACAGAGCCCCTGCCGAGCCCCCGGGCCCAGCCCCCCGGCAGTGCCCCCGCTGACCCCGGGCCCGGCCAGGGCAGCTCCGAGGAGGAGCCGGAGCTGGTATTCGCTGTGAACCTGCCGCCAGCCCAGCTGTCCTCCAGTGACGAGGAGACCAGAGAGGAGCTGGCCCGCATCGGACTCGTGCCGCCTCCCGAAGAGTTTGCCAACGGGGTCCTGCTGGCCACGCCACTCCCCGGCCCAGGCCCTTCGCCCACCACGGTGCCAGGCCCGGCCTCAGGGAAGCCGAGCACTGAGCCGCCGCCCGCCCCGGAGTCCGCGGCAGATTCGGGGGTAGAGGAGGCCGACACGCGCAGCTCCAGCGACCCCCACCTGGAGACCACGAGCACCATCTCCACCGTGTCCAGCATGTCCACCCTGAGCTCAGAGAGCGGGGAACTCACGGACACCCACACCTCCTTCGCTGACGGACATACTTTTCTACTCGAGAAGCCACCAGTGCCTCCCAAGCCCAAGCTCAAGTCCCCGCTGGGGAAGGGGCCGGTGACCTTCAGGGACCCGCTGCTGAAGCAGTCCTCCGACAGTGAGCTCATGGCTCAGCAGCACCACGCCGCCACCGCCGGGCTGGCCTCTGCTGCCGGGCCTGCTCGCCCTCGCTACCTCTTCCAGAGAAGGTCCAAGCTGTGGGGGGACCCCGTCGAGAGCCGGGGGCTCCCTGGGCCCGAAGACGACAAGCCAACTGTGATCACTGAGCTCAGCTCGCGCCTGCAGCAGCTGAACAAAGACACCCGCTCCCTGGGGGAGGAGCCAGCCGGCGGCCTGGGCGGCCTGCTGGACCCGGCCAAGAAGTCTCCCATCGCGGCAGCTCGGTGAGCAGGGCAGTGGGGAGGGTCCTGTCCCGTCCGCCCCGCCCCGCCCCCCTCCCGTCCTTCCGTGGCTCTGTCCCCTCTGTCACCTGTCCGTGACACCCTGCCCTGTGCTCTCCTGTCCACCCCTCTGTCCTTTATCTGGCCTTGTCTGTCTGAGACCCAAGGCTCTTTCAGGGACCTGCGATGTCAGAGGTGCTCTTCTCTGCATCCCTGTTGGTGCTGGCAGTGAAGGCTGGGCGTGAGCACCTCCACAGCCTCCTGAGGCTCTGTGCCCCCGGCGTCCCCAAGGACTCTCTCTCTCTCGACCATAGGTGCCTCTTCCGTTAAGGGTCCTCCTGTGGTCCACTCTAAAGTTGCCGCTGCCCCCAGCCCCAGCTGTTTGACTTCTTGGTGCCCTGTGCGAACCACTACCCCACCCCTCCATCCTCTCTGTGGCCATGTGGCTGTCCCATGCAGTTGGTACCATCTTTCCTCACTTCCTTTTGAAACTTAAGAGTACACTGGATCCTTTTCCTCCTAAGACTCACCACCAATTTCCTGTTTTCTGCCTCAGAAACATTTCTGTCTCTCAGCACTGCCTCAGAGTCCCTCAGATACCGATTCCTGTGTGTGATTTTCAGAGTGCATTAAGAAGCCATTATTAGATGGAAAGCATCCTCTCTCTCTGCACCTCCATCTGCTTCTTCCCTGTACCTTACCCGTTCCTCTGGCCTCCCCACCCACTGTCTACACAAGGTGGGGACTTAGAGAGGCCACATGGTGCTCTGGACGTGGGGGAGGGGCTGGGGGGCTGCTCTGGCTCGGAGTCAGCTGTCACAGCCTCCAGGCTCATCCCTTGGCTCTTCCCTTGAGGACCTCATTCCCAGGAGTCTGCCCCAGAGAGGACCTCCTTGGAGCTGTGGGCTCCATGGGTGCTGGTAGGAGAGCTGGTCTGAGTCAGAACTGGTCACCCCCAGTCAACCCTTGTCTGCTTTTGCTTTCTGCGCCCTGGCGGCTCTCCCCCACTTCTAGCTTTGTGGTATCACGTGGGGTACCACCTCCTGACTCTTCCTCCTCGCCACCATGTGACCAACCTAGTGAGTCTTTCCTGCTCTTGGAAGGTAGAGTCCACAAAGCAGTGAGGGGATCCAGGTCTTACTCACAAGGGCTTGTCCAATCTACCTTTTTCCCAGCTAAGGACTCAGAAGATAGGTGGGGGCTTGGGAAACTAGTGATGCTTCTCCTAAGTGGTTTGGGGAGCTATCCTCCAGCTCCTGTCATCCCGGGCTGGCTCTGGGGCCCTCCCCACTTTTCACCTCTTCCAACTCCCAGTTGAATGTGAAAGCCTTATTCCTACCAGGACAATGTTTAAAGTGCCCTTAGAGAGGGTGTTACGGGTGTGGCCGGGGGTGTCCAGTTGGAGTGAGCAGCCCAGGCCTCTCAGGAACAGACCGCTGAAGGTGGGGGTTCCCTGATGCAGCCTGGACCAGCCCCCATCTTCACTCTCTGCTTCTCCTCCCTCCACCAGCCCCTCCACTCCTTTGTGTCCCTTGGTCCTGATGAAAATTAAGGCCATTGACAGTGGGTAGCACCATGCCTGGCACAATGCAGGCCTTAATAAAACATCTGCCAAATGCAAGTGCTGTCTTTTGTGATCTGAGGTCTAGGCAGGCATCTTAGGACAGATGCCACAGAAGGACAGACAGACACTTTTTGAAGTTTGCTGGCTGTTGAGACCCACAGCTGCGCTCAGGGCAGCCCAGGTCCCATCTTTGCTCCGTGGGCTCCCGTGGGGCTGAAGGAGGTGGTCTCTCAGCTGAACCTCCTGCCACGCCTCCCATGGTTGTCTTCAGCATTTCCCATTTGTTGTGGCAAGGCTCTCTCATCCAGTGGCTCCGGGTTGCATCAGGACCTGTGTGTGTTTCCTTTGGATGTGGGGTTTGGGGCAAGGCCAGCTCTTCCAGCTTTTATATTCCATCTGCTCTGCAGGCCCATGGCAGAGTGAGCCTCTTTCTCTCAGGAGTTCCTGCAAAATCCCAGACTCCCATTGGCTTCATGTGGGTTCCCTGTGTCCCCTGAAATGGTCACTCGAGTCAGGGAGATGCAGGGCTGCTGTTGGCCAGGCCTGCATCATATGCTGTCTTAGGGGTCAGGGCTTGTGGTCAGCCCAGCTACTGGACAGGTGCTAAAGTGGGGGTGGGGGGTGGTATCCAAAGGGGACTCAGGTGATATTCCAAGAGGTACCAGGAGCTAGCAAGCCTGAAATAGGGGACTCCCTTGTGCCACGGCATTCATCAGCTTTAGCAACTCACTTTGTTCCCTGACATCGGCCTGGGTCAGATGGCCCTGGATATCAACCCTCAGCAGGTTGCATCTGAGTTTGTAGTCTTGGACAAACCACTTAGCCTCAGTGAACTTCAGTTCATCCCTTGTGAAATAGTGAGGGTGACCAGGTACTCTGCCAGGCCAGCAGGACTCTTAGAGTCCTTATGGGAAAATTATAAGCATGCTCTGCACTGGAAGAGACCAAGTCATGTTACTTCGTCTTCACCGCCTTTCTGTTAGATGGATACTAATGTAACCTCCATTTTCCAGACAATACAACTGAGGTTCTAAGGAGGTCCATTCCAGCCAGTAAATGGTGGCATCTGACCTCAAGCCCTGCTCTTTGTCCACTATAATCTGGAGTCTCTGTCATTAAACCCCTTCTGGTGACAGACACGGTGTTAATGTGCAGTAATTCCCCTCACGTTCCAGGATGTCTGACTCTAGGTGAGTGACCACATAATTGTGGTTATCCGGGTCATTAAGACCTTTTTTGTACAGTTCTTTGTACTCTTGCCTTGTCATCTAGAGCCAGACATCCTGGAGTGTGAAGTCAAGTGGGCCTTAGGAAGCATTAGTATAAACAAAGCTAGTGGAGGTGATGGACTTCCAGCTGAGCTATTTCAAATCCTAAAAGATAATGCTGTGAAAGTGCTGCACTCAATATGTCAGCAAATTTGGAAAACTCAGCAGTGGCCACTGGACTGGAAGAGGTCAGTTTTCATTCCAATCCCAAAGAAAGGCAATGCCAAAGAATCTTCAAACTACGGTACAGTTGCATGCATTTCACATGCTAGCAAGGTAATGCTCAAAATCATTCAAGCTAGGCTTCAACAGTACGTGAACCAAGAACTTCTAGATGTTCAAACTGGATTTAGGAAAGGCAGAGGAACCAGAGATCAAATTGCAAACATCCATTGGATCATAGAGAAAGCAAGGGAATTCCAGAAAACCATCTACTTCTGCTTCATTGTCTACACTAAAGCCTTTGACTGTGTGGATCAAAACAAACCATGGTAAATTCTTTAAAAAGATGGGAATACCAGATTACCTTACTTGTCTCCTGAGAAACCTGTATGCAGGTCAAGAAGCAACAGTTAGAACCAGACATGGAACAACAGACTGGTTCCAGATTGGGAAAGGAGTAAGTCAATGCTGTATAGTGTTACCCTGCTTATTTAACTTACATGCAGAGTACATCATGTGAAATGCTGGCTGGAATCAAGCTGGAATGAAGATTGCTGGGAGAACTGTCAACAACTCCAGATATGCAGATGATACCACCCTAATGGTAGAAAGCAAAGAGGCGATAAAGAACCTGTTGATGAAAGTGAAAGAGGAGAGTGAAAAAGCTTGCTTCAAACTCAACATTCAAAAAAGGAAGATCATGGCCTCTAGTCCCATCACTTCATGGCAAATAGATACAGAAAAATGGAAACAGTGATAGATTTTCTTTTCTTGGGCTTCAAAATCACTGCGGGCGATCACTGCAGCCATGAAATTAAAAGACACTTGCTCCTTGGAAGGAATGCTATGACCAACCTAGATAGTGTATTAAAAAGCAGAAACATCACTTGGCCGACAGAGGTCCATATAATCAAAGCTATGGTTTTTCCAGTAGTCATATATGGATGTGAGAGTTGGATCATAAAGAAGGCTGAGCACCAAAGAATTGATGCTTTCAAACTGTGTTGCTGGAGAAGATTCTTGAGAGTCCCTTGGACTGCAAGGAGATCAAACCAGTCAATATCTTAAAGGAAATCAACCCTGAAAATTCACTGCAAGGACTGATGCTGAAACTGAAGCTCCAATACTTTGGCCACCAGATGCAAAGAGCCAACTCACTGGAAAGACCCCGATGCTGGGAAAGATTGAGGACAGGAGAATAAGCGGGTGAGAGAGAATGAGATGGTTGGATTGCATCACCAACTCAATGGACATGAGTTTGCTCCAACTCCAGGAGATGGTGAAGGACAGGGAAGCCTGGCGTGCTGTAGTCCATGGGGTCACAACTGAACAATGATTTCCCTCTCGCAGAAATGCACGTGTGTTCGTTCTGTAGACCAGCACCTTTGTTTATCAACCGGTGTATGACAAACAGCATATGGATTCTGAAGTCACTACAGTTGAGCCCAGTCAGTGCCACCTGGCCGGCCCAGTGGCCTTAACCCCTTGTGTGCCCTGCCCTTCCTTCCCCACTTCCCTCTGCGTTCCCTTCTGCTCCTGCTCACACTTCCTTCCTCCCTCCCTCCTGTGCTGTCCTTCTTGCCCTCAGCCCTGGGTGAAACCACGGCCTTCTGGAGTGGGCCCACTGCCTTGCCCTCTACTTCCGGCCACTGGCGGGTGGCAGAACAGGAGATGCTGTGGCCACATGCAGTCAGCCCCCTGTGTGGCTGCAGTGGCTGCGTTGCCTACTGGGGCTGCTGGCCAGCTCTTGCTTTGCAGCCAGCAGTGGCTAGAGTGTGGCCCTCATTTCTCACGTCGTGACAAAACTGCTGCTGACACTGTCTGTTGGAGACATGTCCCAAATGTAGGAAGTTCTGGGGTCCAGGTGGGGCTATTTCCTTCCGGGACTGATCCTAGCTGAAGCTCGAGGGCAGTTGCCACGGCCATTTGGTGGGTCACACCCCCGAGCCTTGTCGCCTGGCCCCTGTATGTTCCCTCCCAGGCCTGTCCGTCTCCTCACCAGAGAGACACCACAAGGGAAGAAGCACTCGCTCTGTCCACCTTCTCCACTGACAGCTCAGTCCAGGCTCCGTGTCCCTTTAGCCACAAGACACTCTGTGGCCTGGAGATCTAAAGAGATCTCAGAAGGGGAAGGAGAGGTTATCCCTTACGTCAAGGCCTTGAAGCTTGGTAACTTGTGGAAATGCATCCGGAAGGCCCATGGACTTGGCTGCTTGAAACTGTGGTCCCAGACCAGCTCTCTCTCTATGCTTCTGGCTCTCAGTCTAGCCTGACAAGCAGAGCACCTTTGCAGAGCCCCACATCCGCTCTAAGCTCCCTCTGTCTTCCAGACCCCGTGGTTGGATCTGAATCCTGCCTGTGTCCTCAGGGCTGCCTGTCTCTGAGCCCCACAGCAATACTCAGTTCTGCTCTGCCTCTCAGTTTTATTCCTGTCTGACCCCGCACATCTGATTTTACCTAAAAAGATTCATGGTGAAATAGCTTTGGACACAAAGTTGACAAGGTTTCTCTTTAGCAGTACTTCTCAGAACTTCTGATGTGCGGTTTAGGGGATCACTAGTTATCATCCCACAGAAGATGCACATTTCTGCTACGATGGAGAAACCCCGCCTAGGGGACCCGCTGTGAGCCCTGTCCTCCTCGCATCCAGGAGTCTGACTGGAGCCTGACGTGACTGCAGGTGTCTCAAGGCCAATAGGACTTGCCCTTTTGAAACTGGACCCTGTTGTGTGCTGGCCAGTACAGGACACAGGGGCCAGGATGTGCTCCGTCCTTGAGGAGGTCCTCACAGGTTGTGGACCTGTGAAGTGTGTTTGTGGGAGACGTGATCAGGGCCTCAGGAGCCATGAACTCCACTGGAGGAGTGGGAAGGGGTCACAGAGGAGGGGCCCAGGGGTGTCTGGAGTGTGTCAAGGTTGGAGTCATGAGCTGGTGTGGGCAGTGAGAAGTTAGGGCTGGAGTGAGAGCAGAGAGGGTGCCCCGTGATGCTCACAGCCCGTATCGTTTGTGCTCCTGTTGAGGGTCACTTCCCTCTATGAGGCTCTTAGATTGCAGGAGGCCGCAGGCCTAGACCTGCCTTGCGTGAGTGTAGTGGCAGAAAGTTCCAGGCAGAGGCCAGGGCTGGGGTGGGCTTTTTCTTGCCTGTTGGCCCCACTGGGTTGACCGGCAGTCAAGCTTGAGAGTGACACATCACGTTGCTCTTGTCTTGTAGCGTTTTCTCCCCCATGCATATTGTGCTTCTGGCTTTGAGCTAGGTACCAGGAGTCAAGGCTAACAATTAGGGAGCCAGGCAAGAGGTCCTGAGCAGGACCATGAAAGGTCTGGGGTCAGAGGTAGCTGGGGAGTGAGGAGAAAGGCCTGGGCTAATGCTGGGAGTTGGTGACGTGTGAGCCATGCAGGTGAAAAGATGGAGCAGCTGATGGGGACTCTGAGGCCTCTGGTGCGCGAGGGACTGGGGGAGGGGAGCATGTGTGGAGGCCCCAGCAGAGGTGTGGCGCTCAGGAGAGACTGGCTTGGCCTGCCGTGGCATTCGTGGACACGCTGGTTACAGCCAAGGGGGGAAGTGGGTGACGTGCCTGGGAGAAAGTGCGGACTAACTGGGGGCCCATCTAGAAAGGAAGGGGAAGGGCACCTGGGAGGGAAACTGGTGGACAGCTCAGCACGGGGATTCTGCTGACATCCTTGGCAACTGCAGGGGCTGGGGAAGGGGAGGGGAAGCACGACAGCAGACCTGACTGGTCCAGGCGTCAGGAGCGAGCCAGATAGTACAAGACTCAGACACTGGTGAGAAAGGTGTTGAGGACTGTGGAGCCTGGCTAAGCTGTCTGGAGAAAGACCAGGAGGCATCCACGGGTGCAGGTGCCTAGTGAGGTACACGTGTTAGAGACTGTGTGGCTGGAAGCCCTCTGGGAGGCTGGCGGGGCTGTGACCGGGCCATGCCATGGTCAGGGCCTGGCGGGAGACCATCAGAACGCTCAGAGTGGTGACGGACAGTGACGGCCATGCAGAGGTGGTGTGGAAACGTGGACTCGACCAGGGACGCACCGGGGGTCCTGGCCTGGGACAATGTGGGCAGTTCCCTGTTCCCAAGGGTAAGGGGAGGAGGAGCAGACCCCCGGCCGTGGCATCCCTGGACACTTCCTGCCAGGCCCTGGGGCCTCGGGGGGACAGCCGTTGGAGTGTGACGAGCCGTCTCCCCCCGAGGCTCCAGGGGATCGTGGCCCTTCAGTCCCTCGCTCACACACCTTCCGGCACCAGCCCTAGCCTCTGGCAGCTGCCCCCCTCCACACCCAGGATCTGCCCTTGACAGGGTCTCCCTGGCGCTTCTGAGCCACTGCGCCTTCATCCTTGGCCTCCAGCTCATCTCCTGCCAGGGCTCCTGACCCTGCTCCAGGAGCCGCCTGGGGTGGGCCACACAGGACTCCATCCTGAGACGCAGGTCCTTGGGCCAGGGTGGGATGTGTGGGGGCCTGGGCCGGGGGACGGGAGTGCCGTCCCCAGCACCGCTCCCTTGCCCTCCCTAGCAATCTCTGCCGCTTGGGCTCCCTCCAGCCCCTTGGCGTCCTTCCCCTTCCACTGCCGCCCTACTTTGCTCCGAAATCCAGGGGGTACCACGGAGGCCAGATGTGGGGGAGAAGAGGGTTTCTTCTAATGATCAATGCCTGTTCCTTGAGCCCATCACCCAGGTGCTCTTGGAGCCCCTCTCTGCTGTGGTGGGGAGAGCACGGTCCGGCCTCTTCAAGAGGCTCTGCTCTGGATCTGAGCAACTGGGTGAGGCAGCGGGGACAGAGGCTGAGGAGAGGGAGCCAGGCAGTGGAAACCAGGTCGAGTAGGACAGAGCTGGATCTCCTGGGAGAGGCTGACCTTGCACCGGGGAGAGAGGAAAAGACAAGACCTGCTTTCAGGGAAGGAGTGATGCTCAGGATGCCCTCCACAATGTGGGGCAGGCGCCAGTCAGGATGGCACAAAAGTGGGGGAACCCGGGGGAGGGGGCCCTTAGCCCAGTTCAGGCAGAGACAGGGAGGTGGGCCGGCGGCTGGAGAGAAGCCCTTAGGCCGGCGCAGCACACGGGGTCACAATGCACCCCAAGAGTCAGGTGTCAGCTTAGCATCTGGCTCTCAGGGCTCTGAGTAAAGCCTGTGGGTGAGGGCCCCAGGCAGGGAACAGGTCACAGGCGGGCCAGAAGCCCACCCAGACCCACCCACGTCTGGTCTGCACTTCCCGTCGTCCTGCAGCTCCAGTGTGCTCCCTCCCATTGCACCGGCCCACTGCCTCGGAGCCTCCCTTCCTGGGTGTCTGGCCAGCGGGCCCCTGCGCCTGGCTGGCTGTGCACTGTGGTCCTGCTGGGCTGCGCCCACTCGGCGCCCCGGCGGGCGCTAACTCTCTCTCTCTCATTGCTCTCTCCTGCCCATCTGCATGTGGCTGCTCTGTCTAGCTGCGCGGTGGTCCCGAGCGCCGGCTGTGTAAGTGAGCATGCGCATCCCATGCCTCTCACCCTCCGTGCGCTGCCAGCCTGGATCTCTGCTGTGCTTGGTCTCGTGGGGCTCCAGTGCCGCTGCCGCCACCCCCTCCGCCAGGCTTCCCTTGGCCGCTGCAGGGAATAGGGAGAGAAAGTGGGCGGGGGCGATATGGGATACAGGACTGGGTTTTTCTCTGGAGGAGTCCTCCCTGTCGGGCCTCCCGCCACGGCCATGCTGGGGGGGTGGAGGGGCTGAAGGCCTGGGTCCTGTCAGGTGATGCTGGGAAGTGAAGACCATCTGCGCGCGCGTGTGTGTGTGTGTGTGTGTGTGTGTGTGCTGCTTGTGCACATGCGCTGCTTGTCGCTGTCGTGGGCAGGCCGCTGCTGCTTCTGCCACTGCTGCTGCATGTATGTGACATAGGTGGCTGCTGCTGCGTGCTTTGCTCTGCGGGAGGCCGCGTGTCACAGGTGCACCGCTGCCTCACGCCTGTCCTGCACGCGCTGCTGCTGTGTGGGTGTGAACGCCACCTGGTGTCTGTCTCAGACCTCACGGACTGTTCAGTCTTGTGCTGCCACCAGCCTTTATCACGACTCAGCCAGCCCTGCAGCCGGCCCAGGTCTTTCTGGGTCTCATGATAACAGAGGGGGAAGTGTTGAGGGGTATTGCCAGTCCTACTCTCTGGGGTATGGGTGGATGGGGTGGTGTCCAGAGCCAGTGTCTCACGCTGTCAGAAATGGAAGGGTCAGCCCTTTGCCCCAGAGGCTGCCCTTGCTCAGGCAGCCTGCTCTCTGAGGCCCCATGGAGTAGAGGGGGCCATTCAGTCTAGGGCTCTCCGTCCCCCAGCAGGGCACTGACTCTGACTATGGGGGCCAGGCCGAGTAACCACAGGATCCTATCTTCCTTTCTCCCTCTGGCCCTAAGGCTGCCCCCCAGCCCCCCAGTCCCAGCCCCGCCCCCAGCGTCCTCCTGGGCCCTGGCCCCGCGCCCCTCCGCCCGGCCCCACCTTGCCTGGTACCCCTCACCTGGCCTTGACCCCCTCTCCCTCCGCAGGCTCTTCAGCAGCCTCGGTGAGCTGAGCACCATCTCAGCGCAGCAGCGCAGCCCCGGGGGCCCGGGCGGCGGGCCCTCCTACCCCGTGCGGCCAGGCGGCCGCTACCCTGTGGCGCGGCGTGCCCCGAGCCCGGTGAAGCCCGCGTCGCTGGAGCGGGTGGAGGGGCTGGGGGCGGGGGCGGGGGGCGCGGGGCGGCCCTTCGGCCTCACGCCCCCCACCATCCTCAAGTCGTCCAGCCTCTCCATCCCCCACGAGCCGAAGGAGGTGCGCTTTGTGGTGCGCAGCGTGAGCGCGCGCAGCCGCTCGCCCTCGCCTTCGCCGCTGCCCTCGCCAGCGCCCGGCCCGGGCCCTGGGGCCCCCAGCCCCCGCCGGCCCTTCCAGCAAAAGCCCCTGCAACTCTGGAGCAAGTTCGACGTGGGCGACTGGCTGGAGAGCATCCACTTGGGCGAGCATCGCGACCGCTTCGAGGACCACGAGATCGAGGGCGCGCACCTGCCGGCGCTCACCAAGGACGACTTCGTGGAGCTGGGCGTCACGCGCGTGGGCCACCGCATGAACATCGAGCGCGCGCTCAGGCAGCTGGACGGCAGCTGACGCCCCCCGCCCCCTCCCCACGCCCCGGCCGCGCCCTGCGGGCAGGGCTCCCCTCAGCCTCCGCCCACCCCCCACCCCCCCGCCCCGCCCCGGGCTGCGGGCTCGGCCCACTCCCCAGCCCCCACCCTAACGGCGCCCGGGCCAGGAATGTTGCATGAATCGTCCTGTTCGCTGTCGCTCGGAGACTTGCCCTGTACATTGCTTAGCGCCCTCCCAGGCCGTCGAGCCCCACCCAGCACACGGTCAGGAAGGGCGCGGGCCGTGGGGGGCTGGAGCGGGAGGGGGTCGGGGGCGGGGTGCTCCAGCCTGACCATCTCCCGCTGAGCTCCTGGTGGCTACTTTCCCAGAGGGGGTGACCTAGTCCAGCATGCGAGGTCAAGACACACCTTGGTGACTCGGGGGGAGGGGGGAGACATTGGGTTTCTCGGTTGGGGGCCAAGGAGCCCCCTGTTTTGCATATTTTAATCCACTCTATATTTGGAACAAGAAAAGGAACAAATATCTCTGTCCTTAATAGCTTCCCTTCCCCTCCCCTCCAGTCCCCGGCTCCGCTGCGGCTGCCCAGTCTTCCATCTCTGGCCCCTCAACTGCCACTGCCGCCCCACATGGGGCAGGGGACGCTCCAGCTGGTCTGGGGTTGGCCAGGGTCCTCGTACCCGCCCCGGGGCCCCAGTGGGCCCCCTCCCCTCGCTGAGCTATGGTGTTCCCCACCGACCCTTCAGGTGCTGCGTGGAGGAGGGGCGGCAGGCGGCGACTCCTGCGGGCGCTCACGCGGTTACGCGGCCGGGGAGAGCCGGCCTGGGGCGGTGTGGGCGCAGGGCCCCCTGGCACCTGCCCCCGGCCGGCTCCCTCACAGGGTCCCCGCCTCCAGCAGGGGTCTAGCCTCCTCTCCACGCTGCTGGGCGACTACAGCAGAGACGCCTCCCTGCCTCAGACCTGAAGTCGCCAGTTCCGCCCTGCGTGTGTGTGCGCACATGTGCGAGTGTGTGAAACTCGGGGTGCGACTGAGTGCATTGGAGCCCCTTGTGTGCCTGACTGGAGGGTGGTCCCAAGGGTCACTCTGGACTAGTGTGGGGGGCTTCGGAAGCTTGCACAGGGTGCGTGCATGGGTGTGTGCCTGTGAAAGCACCCCGTCTCCACTTCCAAAGAAAGTCAGAGGTCGTCTTGCACCCTGGGACCTGCTGTTTGCCCAGCTTGCCCCTCCAGAGCCTCCGGAGCCTGCGTGGGCCTTCTTGGTGAAGCCTTGCTGCTTGGGAGGGGCCCCCAAGGGCCCTTGGAGGCAATGCTCTGCCCCCGCTGGGCTTCTGGGGGGATCATAGGGGCGCCCCTAGAGTCAGGCCGCTGCGCGCCGTGGGGAGAGGCAAAGACCCCAGCGGGCACCCCAGCCCCCTTACTGTGACTCCTCACACTCAGCGATGACCTGTGGGGTGGGGGGCCCGGGACGTTTTTAAACCTAGGGTTTGGAGTCTGGACTAAGCTCCATCCACGTCACTCACGAGTTTCTGTTTATATTTCTAGCTTTTTTTAATAAAAATTAAAAAACCCAGAAAACAGAAGTTTTCACAGCCCAGGGGCTTGGCACGCCGGTCTGTGCCCACCGGCCCCACCCCGGCCCACCGGCCCCATTCCCTGGGCAGATTCACACCCAGTAACCCTTTCACCAACAGACCAGGTCACACACACAGCAGCAGTCACTGTAACAGACTGCCACATACACACTCGTCTCACTCACCTGTGGGTTTTGGTTCCGTTCAGTTTGGGTTTTTAACTTTACAGGGTCAGTTCTGCTTCGCCCCTCCTTTTGTACGGAGCTCCACCTGGGGGGTTCTCCCCCTGCTCCAGCCCCGAGGCCTCTCGACCCTGACGTTGTGATACACCCCACAGAGATCTATGTTTCTTATATTATTATTATTGATAATAATTATAATATTATGTAATAAATTTATAAGAAATGAAACCATTTCTCAGTTGCCTACTTGAGGAGTTACTGGAAGCACAGCCTTTGCCCTCCTTTGGACGGGTCATACAAACCTCCCTGGCCCTCAGCATGCATCCGGCTGCCTGCACCGATGACCTACAGATCCTGTCTCTGACCCGGTCTCTTTGCTGACCTCCATGCCCACATGCCTGGCTTCTTTGTGCCTCGCTCTCTCCAAGTCATGCTGGACCTGAGCCCATGCTTCCTGAACTGGGAGCCTCTCTTTCTGGTCACCAGCCCAGTGAGTGACCCTCATGAGCTAGAAGTCTGGGTACCCTCCGTAGCCTCTGTCCACTTTTCCTGCTCGTGTCCAGGTGTCACTGAATTCTGCTGCTCCTGCCTTTGAACCCTCTCCTGTATACCTGTGCTCCCCTGCCCCAACAGCTTCTGCCCAAGTTCAGATCTTCTCCCCTTGAGCCAGCTGCCACCAGCCACTGATGTGGCAAATCCTGTATGGTACCTGGTGGGCAGGGTAGTAGCTCCCAGGAAGGGCAGGGGCACCTCAAACAGTGAAGGGGGAGGTATAGTGAGGCGAGTGGACAAAAGAGACCCAGAGGGAGCTGTGAAAGGTGGAGACTGCTTGACTGAGGGCTGACAAGAGGGCCAGAAACCACGGAGGTGGGCCATCAGACCAGCTGGGTACCTGGTGGGGTTCTAGAAGGGCAGAACTATTCCACTCTGGGTCAAGGTGGAGTATGAACATCGCACATGGCAAATGTAGACCTTGACTTAGGATGGGGCCTGGGTGAGGCCTCCAGGGAAGCAAGAAGATCCCAGGAAGGATAAGAACGGTGGATGGAGTGAAGCCTTGTGTGCAGAGGGGGAGTGGACTCAGGTGTCTTTACTCAGGGCGGGCAGGAAGGCAGAGCAGCTCTGAGAAGCTGGTGGATGTCGGGATGGCCTGCTCAGGAAGGCAGAGGCCCTTGTGAGGCTGAGATGGTGACCACTGGCAGTGGGACCTTGAGAGAGGCTTGAGATCTGTCTAGAAAGCCCCACAATTTCTAATTTTCATATTTTCACGTTTTTGGCTTCATTTTCGAGTTGGAAACTGTGGTTGTCCCACAGAAGTGGCCTAGAAGGAAGCGGGGACCTGGGAGGGTCTGAATGTGGAGGCAGGGGGTGGGACTCTGAGTCCTCCGTGCCCGAGCACTCTGGCAGCTGGGGGTCGGTCTCCTCTGAGCTGCACATGGTACCCTGTGTCCGGGAACTGGGCCCGGAACTTGGGGCCAGTCCAGCAGGCGTGGCAGTGGGATCATGGCATGGAAATGGCATTGCCATGCTGGCCCCGGGTCCTGGGGAGAAGATGGATATCCTACGGGTCAGAAGTCACCTCAGTGCCTCAGAAAATGAGTCAGAACCTTCAAGACCTGGGTTTGGCAAGAGAAGCCTTGATCAGAGAAGCAGGTGATGGGATGGCAGAGGGTCATGGTGCTGAGTGCGTTGCAGCCTCCCAGTGCCTCTGGGCAGACACTTTCTCACTCAGGACGGTGGACTCCCTGCCTCCTCCTGCCCCCTCATGACCTCAGAATGTCCCAGCTTTATCCCCTCAGGGGCCCTAAGCATCTCACCAGCACTCTGTCTGCAGCCTGGAGCAGAGAGCGCTTTGCAGGTGGCCCTCACTGCTGACCACCCTTCAGGTCCTGTGGGCAGCTCAGGGCACTGAGGCTGGATGGATGAGGAAGGTCCTGCTCTTCAGGGAGAATCATATGCTGCAGAATAACAGGGTGGGTGGGAGTTAGCAGGATGGGAGAAGTGAGGCGGGGCAAGTGGGAGCCGGCTGGGGCTGGGCTGGGGGTGGGCACGGGACAGCCCAGGGTGGGGCGTGCAGAGGGAGCCAGGGCGGGAAGGAGGCTGGGGAAGCTAGAGGGGCTCACGGGGCTGGGGAGGGTGGAGCTCGAGAACTGGGAGAAGGAGCCTCAGGTTGGGGAGACCCCTTGTCCTGCCCCCCCCGTGCTGGGAGCTCCACCTTGGCCTGAGCCAAGCCACCAGGAGCCATTGAGACCCCATCCTGTGGTCCCAGAAGCCTAACTGTCCTTCATGTCTCTCCTTTGCTCTTCAGAACAGTGTGGAGAAGGGAGACGAAGTCACTCTTCCATTAGATTTAACGACACAACTAAACCCGCTGCTCTGCATGTCTGACACTGTGGCTGGGAGCAGGGACTGGAACTGTTTAAGAGTCAGAAGTGGCTGCTGCTCTGCAGAGTCACACAATAGTTTTCTTCTAAAATCTAGACACTGGATCTTCAAACTTTGTTATTGTGTAACGCCTAAATGTTTTGAAAATCTGGGCACCCCTTTCCATTTTGAAGCTTTTATCTTACATTTTCATCTTATATTTTAAAAAGCTGTCAAACAAGTTTGCAAACGTTATGATTTCCAGAAAATTGTACATATTGACATTTAAAATAAATGGTTACATCATTCTGTTACATGATTCACATGAATCTAAATACCATTTCAATTTTATGCCCATCAAAATCCTACAAAAACATCTGGATAATCTTTAACAATCAAAACTGTAACGTCACCCATTGAATTCCTCCTGCCATTTCTTGAACTATATTTTCATCAAAGTCTTTTTTGATTACTTTATCAGGCACAATCTATTACTGAGTTAAAATAAGCAAGTTCTCAAGTAGGTGAAATAGGACATTGCAGGCCTTCGGATAGAGGAGGTGAGGCCACCTGCGATGAGAAAGAGACAGAAAGACGCCTTGGAAACTTATGTATGGGAGAAGAATCCTCCTGAAACTCCAGCAGCAGAAACGAGTCCTGTGACGCTCAGGTATGGGGAGTTAGAGACCCCTAACAGACACGGCACCCAAGAGCCCTGAAACCGGTGGAGGGGAGACAGATCCCCCCCACACTCAGGGTGACATGCAGCAGCAGGGATGAAAAGCTTGTGCCACTCAAATAGTTGATACTCTTGAGATCTGATTGCATTTTTATCAGGGAAATAAAACCTCTTGCCTGACAGGAAGGGAAATAATGAATACTGAACTCAAGTAAGGAAATTAAATCATCCTGCTCCTCACCAGGGGGATAAGTCCTTGTCACTTCCTAGTAAATAAAGATGAAAGGCGTGTTCTGGCTTTGTAATAAGAGAGACAAGACCTTCTGACCTACAGGGAGAGTAGATTTGGAGACAGCCATGTAGAGAAAATGGTAACTTCCTGACAACGAAGTGCATGAGAGGATGTCTCTAGACACTGGAGAGGAAATGAGATGTCCTGACAATTAGATAAAAGAGACGGAGATGCCTGATACCCAGGGATGAGGAGGGCTCACTTAGGGAAGATGAGACATGCTTGTACTACAGCAGGAGAGAGGAGACCCCTTGGTCACTCAGAGAGAAGAGGCAGGACCTTCAGATACAGAGCAGAAGAGATGAGGCATGTCAGGTGGAGACAAGACCCCCCGACACTCAGGGCCTGTAAGACCTGCTTGTGCTCAAATGGGAGGTACGAGATTTCATGGCCCTCAGATGGTGGAGATGAGACCTCAAGACTCTCAGGAAGGGCAGAGAAAGACTTCAGACAGGGGGCTGAGATGGGAGATTTGGACACTTACATAGAGGAGAGGAGACCGCGTGGTGCTCAGGTAGAGAAGATGAAAGCTCATGGTTCCGACAGGGAGACCAGGACCTCCTCCAGCGGGAGCCGGGAGACTGCCTGGCAGTCAGGGGGGGACACGGGGACCCCTGCATTTCAGCATGTCAGTGAAGCTGCAGAGCACTCACAGAAGCGAGATGTGACCTCCTGACACTCAGAGGATGCGAGACTTTTTGGTTCTCAGGTAGAGAAGATGGGACAAAGTCACTCTCCAGCCTGAGGTCTTTGGCCCTGAGCCAGAAGAAAAGAGAGATCCTCACAGTCAGGGGGAGGAGATGATAGCTTCCATCAGGAAGTAAGATATATGCGACCTACTGGATGTCCAGTTGAGGGGGATGTGATGTGAAAGTTACACGAGATGAGAAATTCAGTTAGTTCAGTCACTCAGTCATGTCCGACTCTTTGTGACCCCGTGGACTGCAGCACGCCAGGCTTCCCTGTCCATCACCAACTCCCGGAGCTTGCTCAAACTCATGTCCATCAAGTTGGTGATGCCATCCACCCATCTCGAAATTAGAACATTCAGTTAGAGAAGATGCTCAGGTAGAAGAAGTGAGGTCATCTGACTATCTGAAATGCTTTGTACCTGGAAAGAGGACAGGAGGTGTCCTGACACTTGTGTAGGAGAGGTAGGTGGTGCCTCGTGACCCTCACATAAGTGAGGAGTGACTCCTTGACATTCAGATAGGCCAGCTGAGACCTTGTGCTGAGGCACAGGCGCTAAGACTGCTGCTCCAGCAGGTAGAGATGTGACCTCATCACGCTCTTGCAGGGAAGGTAGAACTTTTTAACATCCAGGTAAGTGAGGTGAGCATTTTTCTGTTCTGGAATACGAGATGCTGTCTCCTGACAATCAGAAGAAGCCTTATTTCATGACATTCAGGTAACTGTGCTGAGAATTCCTGACACTCAGGTACAGAAGACAATTTTCTGCTTCGCGTAGGTCCCAGAAAGGAGACCTGGAGACATCCAGGTAGAAGATATGAGACTTTGTGGACAGAAAAGTGGGCTTCGTAGTTCTAAGCTAGGGAAAGTCAGAATGGTCTTCAGAAAATGTGCTGAGAGCACACCCTTGGAAGAGGGAAGGAGTTTGCCTCCTGCAGGATTAAGGTCTGTCAGTCTGTAGAGCCCGACTCCCTTGAGCTGCTGACCTATTGGACCGTCTTCTCACAGAGGGGCTGAGCTGCCCCGTGGTCTGTGAGTTGGAACGGGACCGTAGTTACAGTTTGCATGAGGGCTGGAGGAGGCTGTGCAAGACGTCGGGAAGTCACTTCAGCATGAACCGCTTGGGCTGAAGTGCTCCCGCCTGGCCTGATTTCTGGAGGGTGGGGGGTGGGATGTCACCCTGCTGATTGGTCGGAAGGCCATGAAGCTTTGTGAGGTCACTGGGCTTCCAGGCCTGGCTGGGGCAGGAGTTTGGCAGAGATGCTGCCAACTGCCGTCCTGCTGGTCTTGGCAGTATCTGTGGTCGCCAGAGATAACACCACGTGTGAGTAAGTGTCAGACAACTTGGGGGAGGGAGGGTGTCTTCTGAATAACAGACCCCGCCCAGACTCCCTCTGTCTGGGACTCTGCAAGAGGCCAAGCCGGGGGCCTTAACATTCACCTGGGTCTCACAGTGCCTGTGCCCCACATTGCTATTTGGACCTTCCCTGCTCCCACTATCTTCAGCCCAGAGCCCCCAGGGCCCCTGGCATCTAGAGCTTCCTCCCAAGAGGAACTCTGGGGCTTCCGCAAAGCACAGGCAAGTTTCCACCACTGCCCGCCCCTGCCTCCCCGCCCCCCACCCCCACCCCCCAACCAATGACCGGCTTCACTGCTTCTTGAACATCGAGTCCTGCAGACCCTGGGAAGCACCTCCCCCTGGCCCTGCGCTGACCCCAGAGATCCCAGGGCGTCCTCATGCAGCACCTCAGGGACCCCCACTCAATGTGTAGACTCCCAAGCCCCCGAGGTACCCTGCAATCCCAGAAACTCCCTCCTTCTCACCAGCAACACAGAGCCCTGAACGTCCACCTCCGACCTGCCCCGCGTGCCTCCCCCCGGGTCACTTCCACCTGCCCTGCTCTCCTCCTGCTGCCGCCCAGCCCAGCTCTGCAGCTCCAAGCCCCTCTGGCTCCTTCCTGAGCCTCCACCAGGATCATCCCCTTCACGCCCACATTAGCTCCCTCTCCTGTCCAGAGATCTCCCACACTACTGGGGCCCTTGGTCTGTCCTAGCTGCCTGTGGCCCCTCTGTCCCCACCTTGTGACAACAAGACCCAAGAAACTCCCCACTCTGAACATTTGCTGGAGCCCGTGGCCACCTGTCCCGGTACGGCCCCCAGCACCGCTGCTCAACCACGCCCCCGGACCCCTACCCTGGGGCTGCCCCTGCTGGCCTGGGACCCCAAGGCTGTTCCCCGTGACCAGCCTCAGGCCCCTCTCGCCCCGCTGTGGAGGCGCCGGGAGGGCCTGCTCTTGACTTGAACCGTGCCCGTGGTCTCTCCTCAGTGGCCCCTGTGGGGTACGGTTCAGGCAGAACCGGCAGGGGGGCATGCGGATCGTCGGCGGCCAGGACGCCGCCCACGGGTCCTGGCCCTGGATGGTCAGCCTCCAGATCTTCACCTACCACAACAACCGGCGGTACCACGTGTGCGGGGGCTCCTTGCTGAACTCCCACTGGCTGCTCACTGCTGCTCACTGCTTCAGGATCAAAAAGTATGTGCGGGAACTCGCAGAAGGGGTCTTCAGGAAGGCTCTTCTCAGAACCGGGCATTCTCCAAGGGTCTCAGTGCCAAAGGTCCCTGAGGCTCTGGGCCTAGTGGCAACCAGACTGCGGGATTGACCCAGACCTGCTGGGGATGGGGCCCTCCAAGGCTCATGGTCACCAGCCAGTCCTCAGCAAGTGTGACCTGGCTTACCTCTGTGCCCACAGAAAAGTGACCGACTGGAGGCTGATCTTTGGAGCTAAGGAAGTTGAGTGGGGGAGCAATAAGCCAGTGAAGCCGCCTCTGCAGGAGAGATATATTGAGAAAATCATCATTCATGAGAAATACTCTGCGAGCTCAGAGTCCAACGACATTGCTCTCATTAAGATCACCCCGCCTGTTACCTGTGGGCACTTCGTTGGACCAGGCTGCCTGCCTCACTTTAGGGCAGGCCCACCCAGAGTTCCCCAGACATGCTGGGTGGCTGGCTGGGGATTCTTACAAGAGAATGGTGAGTACGGACGGGGAAAACCCTGTCGATATGGTCTTAGGTGAAGGGGAAATACATGGATGCCTGCCTGAGCCCCACCCAGCCCCTAGCCCTGTGCTGTGAGTGGATCCTGTCACTGTCCCCTTTCACCCCCGGAGAAACTGAGAGTGAAGTTCCATGTCCAGGGCCCCTCGCCAGTGGCTGGTGTGGCCGCCAAGGGCGGCTGGGCAGCAGGCACAGAAGAGCACCCCGGCATCTTTGGAACAGGTCACGGCTGTGCCTGGAGCCCCAGGGCTGCCTCTGGAGGTGGGGGTCACGCCTTGAGGCATGCAGCACTTGGAGAAGGGCTCTGGATGGGGTTTCCCGCGCCGCGCCTCAGTTTTCCCATCTGTAAGTGGGAGGGCCGGGCCACATGGCCTCCAGGCTCCGCAGTTCCTGCACGAGGCCCCTCCTGGCCGTCTCTGCTCCCCACCCCTGGCAGTCAGTCCCACCTGGTTGTTACCGCGAGCGCCCTCTGTAGACCGCGACAGGGGCTGCTCCTGGGTGTGACTTTCTGCGGGTCAGCAACCTGGGCAGCATGTTTCTGCCAGTGGGGCAAGATCAAGTAGAACAGGCCTCTGTACGTGAGCTTCGCTTTCAGCTTTCCTTAGGTGGGCACGTGAATTTTTACCAGTCCTGTCAGGGGTGTGAAGATATGATTGAAATTGACTTAGTGGTCAATCTCCTTTGTTAATTGATGGAACATCTGTTTGTTGATGGAAAATCTGGGCCTCCTAATTCAAGGCAGATCAGTTATTTGGGCTTTAAACCTCAGTATTTTTTTTTTTTTGTCTTCTACTCTTCTCCTCTCTGAACGTTGATTTTGGTTTCTGGTAGGACTGCTACCTGTGCTGCCCTAGGGGAAGGGTATCTCACAACCTCTTCCTTGACCTGGGTGTCAACCTCTGTCTGGCTGCTGGTGTCCATGGCTCTGCCGTGGTTCCTAGAGCAAGCACACACTTTCTTTTTGTTCCACCCCCTGGCCTGCCCTGCTCTGTCCACTTGTCCAACCTTGTCCTCAGCTTTCGGGGGTTCTCGCAGTCCCTGGGAGGCTGATCTCAGAGTTTCCATCCAACAACCCCTCAACCCCACCTCTGCTATCCTTTTGCTCAGGAGAATTGTAGGCTCCCATCTATATCCTGGACGTCACACAAGGCCTCTTAGTTCTAGAATCACCTTAAATTTAATGGAGTTTCTATCCTTTTTTGTTTGTTTGTTTTTGCAAACCCATCTCCTAAAAAGTGAAAGTGTTTAGTCGCTCAGTTGTGTCCGACTCTTTGGGGCCCCCTGGACTGTCGCCCGTCAGGCTCCTCTGTCCCTGGAATTCGCCAGGCAAGAATACTGGAGTGGGTAATCATTCCCTTCTCCAGGGGATCTTCCCAACCCAGCGATTGAACCTGTGTCTCCCAGGGCCAAGTCTTAAAGAAACTCCCAGGCTCCTGTGATACTCCTTCTGACCTTTCTTTATCTTGACCTACCTCTTCCTTGAACTCAGATGCTTTGGGGCTAGAAGAGTACTTTTGGGAATCGGTCTCTTTTTCCATCAAACTTTTCGTTTCTACAGGTTTTTTTTTTTTTTTTTTTTTTTTTTTGCATTTGCTATTTAAAGCCAAGGTGTTGAGATTGAGAAAACTCTTTTGTGTTTCAGGACACCTGTCTCTTAACAGTGAATTGCATGGCTTTCAAGGCTGTAGGCTCTGCCATAGATTTAAAGGGTCATCTTAATGGCCAACAAGCCAGGCTTGTTCCATGTTACCTGTACCTAAAGGGCAGTGAATGTATGAAACCCTCATTGCTGCTTAGATGGGAAGGAAAAATGGGGGCTAAGGAGGTTGGGAACATAAACGAAGCCTTGCAGACATGCGTTCAGCAGCCATCCACCGAATGCTTGCTGGTGCCTCCCCAGACACGGCGCTCCACGGGCTTCCCTGCCGGCCTCATGCTCTGAGTCTGCCCCTTCCCACCTGTACTGCACACGGTGTTCAAACCCACTGGGTGGTGACTGGGCTGTGGGTGCTGCTGTGGCAGGGCTGTTGGGATTCTCCTGCGTGTGGGAACATGTGATTCAGAGGGTGCAGTCTCTTGGGCTCCAGTTCAGTTCAGTTCAGTTACTCAGTGGTGTCCGACTCTTTGCGACCCCATGGACTACAGCACGTCAGGCTTCCCTGTCCATCACCAACTTCCGGAGCTTGCTCAAACTCATGTCCATGGAGTCAGTGATGCCATCCAACCATCTCATCCTCTGTCATCCCCTTCTCCTCCTGCCTTCAATCTTTCCCAGCATCAGGGTCTTTTCCAGTGAGTCAGTTCTTCGCATCAGGTGGCCAAAGTATTGGAGTTTCAGCTTCAGCATCAGTCCTTCCAATGTGTATTCAGGACTGATTTCCTTTAGGAAGGACTGGTTTGATCTCCTTGCAGTCCGAGGGACTCTCAAGAGTCTTCTCCAACAATGCACTTTGAAAGCACCAGTTCTTTGGCGCTCAGCTTTCCTTAAGGTCTACCTCTCACAACCACACACGACCACTGGAAAAACCACAGCTTTGACTAGACGGACGTTTGCTGGCCAAGCAATGTCTCTGCTTTTTAATATGCTGTCTAGATTTGTCATAGTTTTTCTTCCAAGGAGCAAGCGTCTTTTAATTTCTTGGCTGCAGTCACCATCTGCAGTGATTTTGGAGCCCAAGAAAATAGTCTGTCACTGTTTCCATTGTTTCCACATCTATTTACCATGAAGTGATGGGACCAGATGACATGATCTTTGTTTTTTGAATCTTGAGTTTCAAGCCAACTTTTTCACTCTCCTTTTTCACTTCCACCAAGAGGCTCTTTAGTTCTACACTTTCTGCCATGAGGGTGTTGTCATCTGCATGTCTGAGGTTACTGATGTTTCTCCCGGCAATCTTAATTCCAGCTTGTGCTTCATCCAGTCTGGCATTTCACATGATGTACTCTGTATATAAGTTAAATAAGCAGGGTGACAATACACAGCCTTAACATACTCCTTTCCCAATTTGGAGCCAGTCTGTTGTTCCATGTCCAGTTCTAACTGTTGCTTCCTGACCTGCATATCTTGACCTTGATTTCTCAGGAGGCAGGTCAGGTGGTCTGGTATTCCCATCTCTTGAAGAATTTTCCATAGTTTGTTGTGATCCACACAGTCAACGGCTTTGGCATAGTCAATAAAGCAGAAGTAGAGGTTTTTCCGGAATTCTCTTGCTTTTTGTATGATCCAACGGATGTTGGCAATTTGATCTCTGGTTCCTCCGCCTTTTCTAAATCCAGCTTGAACATCTGGAATTTCATGGTTCATGTACTGTTGAAGGCTGGCTTTGAGAATTTTGAGCGTTACTTTGCTAGTGTGTGAGATGAGTGCAATTGTGTAGTAGTTTGAACGTTCTTTGGCATTGCCTTTCTTTGGAATTGGAACGAGAACTGACCTTTTCCAGTCCTGTAGCCACTGCTAAGTTTTCCAAATTTGCTGGCATTTTGAGTATAGCACTTTAACAGCATCATCTTTTAGTACCTGGCCTTGGGCTTGGGCTCCAGGCCAGATGCAATGTCGGCTGCACCAGCCACAGTGCATGCTGGGGTTTTCTTAACCCCTGGTCATGGCCAAGCATCTGAGGCTATAAAGGAAGTTCTGACCTGGCCTCAGTGGTCATTTCAACCACCTGTGCCCCTGACAGGTCTGCCTGTGTGTGGAGGCACCACCATAGGTCTGTTGCCTCCATATCTGAATAAAGATAGGAGGCACATGGGAGGGACTCATCAGCCCAAGTCCTTCGGGTCCCGTCCACAGCTGGATGGAGGATAGAATGCAGGGGATGACCTATAGCCGGAATAAAAGATGTGTTCTGGACTTGAGTCTAGAGAGGAAGATCCTTGGTGTGAGCCCAAGTTTCCCTAATGTGACCTTGGTAAGTGGTATTCCAATCTCCTGATTGGAGAAAAGGGGAATAACAGTTTCTAACTCACAGTGCCTGTGAGGAGTGAATGAGATGAAAGCCTGTGTGACTCAAAGTAAGTGCTCAGCATGTCCTTGTTATAATTGTTAATATCACGGCAAACTTCCATAAGCCAGAATCCACCCTAAGGCATACGACTCTTCAGCTGCACACACCACCCTCCATCTGTCGTCTGTCCACGGTCTGCCTCCTTCCTCTCTCTTCCAGTTCCATCTCCCAAGTCTTGTGTGCTCTATAAGCAGAGGCCGGGGCATAGACTTTCGTGGGTCTTAGGTTTAAACAGAGCATTTCAGGACGCTGGGGGTTCAGTGGAGGGAGGAAGCCAGGGCTTTCCCAGAACACATCTTCTGTAATTACTGACCACTGAGTCGCCTGGCTGTAGCCCGCAGGACATCACCCGTACTGCAGGAAGCACGCGTGGACCTTATCGACCTCGACTTATGTAACTCGACCAGATGGTACAATGGGCGCATTCGTTCAACCAACGTGTGTGCAGGGTACCCTGAAGGCAAGATTGACACCTGCCAGGTAACTCTCCACCGGGTGCTCTTGTGGACACTTTCTTTTTGGATCCCTGAGCAAATCTCCCTGGTCCTGCCTCCCACTATCTATAGGAACCGTGCGCTTGGGTGGTGACACATAAGCTGTGCAGCAGGGACTTAGTCACCACATTTAGAGCTTTCTTCCACCCTCACACAGAGATCGCAGCATCCAAACACTTCCCAGAAGAGGATGCTTACCTCTCTTCACCGGAATGCAAAAGGGTCAAATCCACTTGTATACACATGCTCATGTGCCCATGTAAAACCATATACACAGACACATGGGTCTGTCTGTCCTCCCTATCAGTGCGAGAAAACCCATGAAAATCCATACCCTTCTTACAGCCACAAAGAAGTTGTTTTAGCACCACCTCAAACTTTGCCATAACTGCCTGTGTTTATGGCAGCAGGAGACCATGTGACTGCAGAAATTACCCTCCCAGAGGCTATGGCCCTTCTGGGCAGGGAAAGTGGCTCAGGCAGAGTGTGACTTCTGTATCCTTCCGGGCAGGGGGACAGCGGCGGGCCTCTCATGTGCAAAGACAGCGTGGAAAACAGCTATGTGGTCGTGGGAATCACAAGCTGGGGGGTAGGCTGTGCCCGAGCTAAGCGCCCCGGAGTCTACACGTCTACCTGGTCCTATCTGAACTGGATTGCCTCCAAGATAGGCTCTAACGCGGTGCACATGATTCAGTTGCCCACCGCTCCCCCTGCTTCTACTCCAGTAGCCCAAGCGAGCCCTGGCTCTGTTCAGCCTTCCATTCGCCCACCTTGGTTCTTCCAACACGTTCCTCGCCCACCTCCCTCTCAGCAAGCTCTTGCCGTGGCCCAGCCCCCACGTCCCTCCGGCTCCCAACCCTCAGTCCCACCTCCCCCCCGACGCCCACGCCCACGCCCACCCCCACCGCAGCCTCCCACTAGGCCTCCCCAGGTACTCTCCTTCGCCAAGCGACTGCAGCAGCTCATAGAGGTCTTGAAGGGGAAGACCTTTCTTAATGAAAAGAGCAATTATGAAATGGAAACCACAGACCTTCCAGAACAACATGCCTCCTCCTGATCTGAACCTATTCTCAACGGACCCGGTGAAAGCCTCACTCCTGAGGGAAAAAAAGATGAAATAAATGGATATAAATACAAATATAAATATATATACACTAAGAGATGCTTTCTGGACTTCTTCCTATATGCCTTCCCCAACTTAATCCCTCATCAAATCTACCCTGCCTCCATTCACCTTTGTATTGTATTAATGATGTTGACTTAAAAAAAAAAATGCACAACGTGAGTTGTGAGTTAAGTTTTATTTGGGGCAAAATGAAGACCCTAGCATGAGAAACAGCACTTCAGATAGCTCTGAGAAACTGCTCCAAAGCGGCAGTGGGGGAAGGTCAGTAACTGTGAGATTTTTGGTGAACGGGGAATACATGCAATCAAGCACATTTTTTTTTAGAGGTTTCTGCTGGTCTCCTGAAGATTACTGCTAGTCATGAGGAGCAGACATCATCCTGAAGGATTTTAGTGCTTTTCTAGATATGAGGAGATTGAATAATTGGGTTTGTAAAGCCAGCTCCTGAAAATATCTAACTGTCTGAAGACCTGTCCTGTTAGTTTTCCTGTAGCACCAAGAGCCTCATTTCTGCTTTCCACCCTAAACTCCTTTCAGAGGGTGTTGAAAGTCAGCAGCTGTAGCAGCACCTGATTTCATTCTTGTAGAGGTGGATGGCAAGTGCCAGTTCGTAGTTGACAAAGTCAGTTGTGGTTTTTAACGAGAACAAGATGAGCTGGGGTCATAGTCCAGGTAATTATTAAATGCTGGTGTATCTGCATATTAAATCAAGGGGCCGCATAGCTCCCTTGAGGTGAGCTGACTGAAAATCAAGGATGTGCGTCCAAGTCTGCTGGAGGCCATGCTCTCCTGGTGCAGAGAGACAGACCCATGAGAGGAATCTGTCCTTAATTTGTTTTTTCTCTCCTCCTTGAGCTGGAAAATTTTTCCCTGTGATCTGCAGCTGACACTTGGGTCTCCTTCCTGGAGAGACAGGGCTAAGCTCAAGAAACACTCTGACAGGAGCCTGCAGAGTCAAGGCAGTGGATTCTTGTAAGCCTATGCCTTGTGCAAGCTTTTCGTGCACGTGAATGTAACCTAACCCCTTCTTCTATTTTCCTTGTTCGTATTACTCTTTGACTTCCTTTTCCATTTTTCAAATGCAGACATTTCCATATTAGCACACGTGGACCCCTGTCTCTAACTGCGCTCCACAGCAGGGGCGTTTATGAGCCTGTGGTGTCAAGCGTCCTCCCCTTCTAGTCTTTCAACACATTTCCCCACATCTAAGCCAACACGGGCTCACAGCAAATTCATCAATTTGCCAACCTAATTGATGCTTAAATTTTCATTTTTAAATGTATGAATGAAGCTGTTTATAGGTGAAGTGAGACTCTCTGATCCGCCTTCATGTGCCTGTGGACACTCCAGCCTTGAGAATGGCTCACAGATTCTGGAGCAGAAGCCTCTGCACCGGGACGGGAGAAGCAGGGAGGAAATGGACAGCTGTGTGCAGAACTGCCAAAGACGGTTCAGGCTCTGCTCACTTCCTTATGAGATTGTCAGGCAAATGACCAAGATTCTCAAAAGTTAGAATTCATAATGAAACTTACTGCTAGGAAGAATAGCAGAAAATTATTCCGCAATGGCTAAACCTGCACGTGGTAAAACTCAGACACTGGAAAACCAGGCAAGTTAGGAATAACAGATGTAAGGGCAGAAGTTCTAACTGTGAGTTTGATCAGTACATGAAATCTAATATTTACAAAGAAAAAGCTAAATGAGCCAATGAGTATAATTGTAGTAAATTTTAAATGGAAGTGTAAAAAAATGGAGGTAGTTCATTTTTAACATGTTCAAGAAACAGAAGCTAGCTTATTGATGTTTTCTGAAGAAACTACATTCTTGGTAAAGAATCATCAATGACCCCCTTTGGTTACAGATGAGTCTTTGCATGGAGATGTGCTTTCAGAGTGGAATGGCTGGGGGACGATAGGTGTAAGCTTTGCTCTATGACTACACCCCCAAAGGCATCAGTGCAATCAATGTAGTGAACATATCCATCACTCCCCCAAGTTTCATTGTGGGACCTTGTAATCCCTCTAGCCCTTTCCTCCCTGGCTCCAGACAGTCTCCAATTTGCTTTTTCTCATTATGTATTAAGTTGTATTTCTAAAGATTTTACACAAATGGAATCACACATCAAGTAGTTCCTTTTGTCTAGCTTCATTCAGCATAATCATTTTGAGATTCATCTATATGGCAGTGTGTTCACCAGTTTATTCCTTTTTATTGCTAACCTTTTCATCATACAGCTATACCACAGTTTTTCTATCCATTGTTGGTGGATGTTCGGTCATGTTAAATAAATCAGCGATCTGCATTTGTATACAAGTCCTTGTATGGACATGTGCTTTCGTATCTCCTGGCTGAGTGTGTGTGGAATGGCTGTATCTTATGGTAGGTGTATGCTTAGCATTTTTAAAAACTGCCAAAGTGTTTTTTCAAAATGGTTTAAACATTTCACATTCCACCAGCAGTGGGAGAGAGTTTCAGCTTTTGAGCTCCTCACCAACACCTGGTCTTGATAGCTTAATGGTGAATGGTGAGCAGTGTCACTGGATATGTGGTCTCTGAAAGAGAAGATTTAACTCTGGGACCAAAGACATTCTCTGTCATTCAGAGTTTTTTTTTTTTTTTTTTTGTAGATTTTATTTAAAGTGAAAGTGACAGAAAAAGCTTTTGACATAGACATCAGAAGGGGTCAGGAGAGTCCCTGCCTCACTTCTTTAAGTGGCTTATACTTCTCAACTAGTTGCTGAGAATATATGAAAAATATTTCAAGGTTGTGAGAATTTTGTTCAAACCCTTTCCTGTAATATACATCCTGGGATGACATCAGCATGAGATTAGTCAGAAGGAACATGTAAACCCCAAGCTCAAGGCTGTGAAAGTTTTTACCCAGAACTTTTCCCATAACATATATAAAGTTCAAAAAAAGGCATGCCTTTGAACAAGAGATACTGTTGCCTACAATGCCTACTTGTCTAAGGCAAAGAACAGTGAAAAAGAATGTTTACCTCCTCAAAGGGGCCTTAGGCTTGGACTCCTTATTAACTTGCCTAAGTTAACTCTCTCAGTATGATCAGTCCTTCTAATTTTAGGCATTCTGATTTTAGTATATGTGCTGCCGAAGCGAGCACTAGGCATTCTGAGAGATGTGTAGTAATATTTCATTTGGGGAGTTTTCCCAATAAACAAATGTAGTCTATCAATAAGTTTAAAGCATTCTAAATGAACACAGCTAAGCTTTGTTAACAGTAATGTAATATGGCAATAACTCTTGATACTAGAGCAAAATATGGAAGGACTCCTAGGGAAAGAGGTAGGTAGAAAAAGGCATAAAATAAATATATCCAAGAAGAATTTGGATATTTCAAGCATCACAAACATCAGTGGAAAACTGAAAGAAATAATGATAGGAGCAGTTCATAGTACAACACTAATTTCAGAAGCAACCTGCTTAAGAAATGAGAGGTCCATTTCTCATAAAGTTATTCCAAAATATCCAACCTCGGGGTTTGCTGCGAGGTTTCGGTCTCGAACGGCGGCACCATGTCGAAAGTTTCTTTTAAGATCACACTGACGTCAGACCCGCGGCTGCCATACAAAGTACTCAGTGTTCCTGAAAGTACACCTTTCACAGCTGTCTTAAAGTTTGCAGCAGAAGAATTTAAAGTTCCTGCAGCAACAAGTGCAATTATTACCAATGATGGAATAGGAATAAATCCTGCACAGACTGCTGGAAATGTTTTTCTAAAGCACCGTTCAGAACTGCGAATAATTCCTAGAGATCGTGTTGGACATTGTTAATATCCGCTGCCTGGAACATAAAACCCCCTTCCAGAGTAAATATTGGTAATGTTACTATTGTAAAATTGGAATCAGGCGTTTGAAATCCTATGAAAACACCAGTAATTGATGACATAGTGAAAGGTGACTGTCTGTCCGTGCTTGTTGACACTTCACGTGAGGAGAGAACGCATCCAGGCCTAGGGCACCATGACCACAGAGGATCAGTCTTTCATTGCTGCCTCGCTGCACACACAGGTAGTTCATCAGGGGTGAATGGATCAACCATCTGTGTCTTATAACCTGAGGGTGCTTCTGGTCATTCTTTCTGAGAACATCTGGAAAATTAAAATTTACTGAAGCTTCCTTCTTGTCCCTGCGTTAAAAATGTAAAAAAGATTATGGATCCACACATAACGGTTGGCTTGTTAGCATCTGACTCACAGACAGAAACATAGTTGACTTCCTCCTTATATATCATTTATGATAAAGGATCATATCAATGAATAACTATCTTATCATTTAGCTTGTTTTAAAGTTTTAGACTTCTTGAGTTCTTATAAGTTTTAATTTGACATCAAAGAGCCCAAAATTGCATTTTCAATCTAGCCCTTATGGGTAAAACTGGTTGGTATCCCACACCAAAGAGTTTTAGGGATGATCTTGCAGACTCCAGTACTTGTAATGATGAGAATTAAGAATAAGTAGAAGCATCAGTTGCTGAAATATGCATTCCTTTATTGATCTCTTTTAAAACAACTTTTAAAATAGGAATCCTCGAGAAACCATCATCTTTTTGAGGATAATCGTAAATAGCCTTCAGGGAGACAGTGTAAAGAAGAACATCTGAAAGTTCACAACAGCGCTCATAGAAATGCTAATTTAAATTCTGGTTGGTTATACATAATGAAGACCCACCATTTAAGGAAGCATTAAGATTATAGTTGTGGTTTGAATAAGAAGCTAGGAAAGGAAAATGGGGAAGCCCAGATGACCAGGCTTCTAGCAAGAAGGAAAGAAACAAAAGGGAAGGCAAGCAGAAACTTGTAACAGGAGTGTCACAGAAAAGGCCAAAGTGGTTAGATAAAACTGCAGAGGCTACGGAGAGAACTGAAGGGAAAACAAAATACTTGACATTGTTATAAGGAGCCAAAGATGAT